GGGACGTAGCTAGATGAATACTGAGCACAACACAGTCAATGGCAGCCTTAAAATGCATGATTGGAGAGGCATGGGCTATAATAAACGAAACAAAGTGAACGCTGAACAGAGAGACAATTAAACCGCCACATCTGGCAATGCAATGTGAGTGGGTACCCAGCCACTGCAATTACAGGGCTCGATCGCTGGTGTAACCCTTCACTGTCTGGATGTTGTACTGGAGCAAATTATAAAGACGATGCTCACTCCCTCTGCAAAATATTTTCAGGAACTGATTCGTGCCTCCCAGATGCCCATCTGAATCTGGGAAATCCCTTTTAACCATCAACAATCATCTACTGATTCAATTCCTGGGCTATTTCTCAGTCCAGATCAGTCCCTTGCTATCCTGCTGATCACAAGCCACAGTGCAATCTTCAAGTCCTTTCATGTAGAGCCCAGGCTCTCGCATTAAAGGAAGGACTAATTATGGAGTAGAGCGAATATCATCTCGGCTGGACGAAAGGGACAAAAGTGACACAAGTGTCATTCTGACATTTTGTGAAGAGGTTTTAGTTTTAGAAGACGTTTTTTGCTTGAAAAGCACTGGCTGTTTATCTTGTCCAAAGCAAAAAGGCTAAAGCTTTTTATACTGAAATATACTTTTGATATTGTACTTTGCATCATCTACTGGAGGGATGAACACTATTCTTCCTGAAGATATTCTCTCGCTCTGGTGTTAGTATCGTTCATGATGTCGGTGGAAAGTGCAACACGTTGCTTCAAAATGTTCCATAGGTGTTCAATTGAGTTGAGATCTAGTGACTTTTAAGCCCATAGCATAATAAATCACATCATCTCATACTTAGCAATCATTGAGTGATCCCTTGTGCCCTGTAAAGAAGCATCTGTGTTTATAATGCTACTTCACTCGTTATTCAGATTTATACCCAATTAGTCACTTATCTCTATTTAAATCTAAATATATTTGAACATAAATAAGGCTGGAGATCAAAGGCAGTACCACATGTGTTTTAACAAGAAATCATGCATAAATAACATTACTGCTGACCATTTGTTAAACCAGGTTTTTTGTGGTTGACAAAAACAATCTCTCCACAAGGTTGATGGAGTAGCTGTTGTGGAGCTTTTGGTCATATCACACTGTCTTCCTCAACAGATGGGGTTTGCCCAGTTATCATCGAACTGTAAACGTTTAGATTTCCATTTTTTCAAGCACTTGATGGACTTCTTTTGATATGATTGAAAGCTCCAGAACAGCTACTAAATGGACCTTGTGGTGAGATTGCTTTTTGTCAACTGCTGTTTCCGAGTTCAAGACTAAACTTTTACTCATTAATGTTTTTAGATTTTGAAATGTATTTCTCCTACACAATCTTCCAGGCAGCCATTGGCCTCCATTAACATTAATATGGAATAAAAGACACTTTCAGAGAACTCAAACTTGCTTGCAGATTACCAGTATTTTGTAAAGTGTGCTGTTCTTATGCAGCATTATTTGTCTTTAATTGCCAGCTCCTAAATTGCTTCCCATCTCACCCAAAACATTAAACAGAAAGTTATATGTGTCCTCATTGTTGTGAAGATTGCAAATGCCCTTTCCAAAAAAAATCCTCTGAAACGCTTAGTTTCTTCACTCTCTGAAGTATTATTCCCACTAGCTCCAGGGCTTAATTTATTCAAGGCTGTTAATAGCAAAAAAAAAAAAAAAAAGAAAAGAGAAAGGTTTTCCTACTGAAGAGCTGGATTGTTTCTGATCTGAATGGAAAATGCTGCTAGATTAACTTGACATGGATGGTGCATGCAATTCGTGCAGATATACTGATCTGTAATCTATGTAATCTTCTTTGCACAACGGCGATACGATGCTCCATTCACTCTGTGTGGGAAGTCTTTCAATTCTCCATGAAGAACGGTTTGTTCTTTCCCACGTGTGGTTCCTCTGTCTAACTCTCCTCACTCACATCCCCGCAGACATACACATATGCCCCCTTTCTCCCCTGCCATAACTCTGTCAGTTGCACACAGATGCAGAAATGCATGCATGCCTGCTTTCTCTGTCTGACTCTGTCTCTTCCCCTGTTCCTGCCTCCTCTGTGGTGTTTCATGGGTTCAAAGCTTCCACTCTGTCTGCTTAGCCACGGGAATCTTTGCTGACGTCTCCGTCCTGCAACCACAGTGACAGAGAGAGATGCTCTAGAGGCGAGGGGAGATAAGAGAGAGAGGAAACAATCGCATTAAGTCTCACTTTACCCCCCTGACCAAGACCAGAGATTGGGATTTGAATGTTAGAATCTTTGTGCTTAAATCCCTGCACGGCTGTTTGTGCTTTTCCCAAACTGAGCACGCAACCTCTGCCCGTGCAGTCTTAGCTGCTCACAGTAAAGCCGGCACAAATTAACACGCCGTTGTTAAGGGAATAACACGCAGCCATATGCACAAAGAGCCCCTTGGAATAAGTCTTGGAGAGTGACACCGCGGCTGTTGCCAGCACAGCAGTAGAGCTGTCAGTGCTACAACGCAACATGCTGTTCAGATCCATGGGTGAAGCCTCTTGACATCAAAGGTGGCACACCAAAGAATCTGTGTTTCCTTTTACTGTTGTCCGCACCTGTCAAAATGGTGCGTTTTGTTTTTTGGGTTTTTTTTTTTCTTCTTGGTGTTTTATGCGCTCCTCCTGCACACCAGCCCTCCTGCTTTGTAGCACCACAGAGACCCCTGGTGGAATCAGGGAGCATAGCAATATGTGTATTTGTATTTGTGTGAATATGCGTATGTGGGGTCGAGGACAGATCTCAGCATCCCCAAAACACATTATCTCTGTCTCTTTTGCTTTAACACTCTCTCTCACACAACACACACCCAGACACACGCACACTCAAAGTCACATACACACACACACACAGCCCTTATCTCTCAGCTGTGGACAATACTTTTGTTCGGCCGAGAGACAAAATGCAAAACTGTCCTCCAACTTGGGGCCTTTTTTGAATCTCCAATCCAGATTTTCTCTATTAATGCTTTAGCTATCATCTGAGCTCGCTACACTGCACTAGAGGGCCAAATTAGAGCAGGCCTTGGTAAAATAAAATCCCTATTATCTTTGAACTAGCAAGTACCCAATTATACGCCACAGTTATCTCCCATCTCACAGACTTCTGAGTCCTCGCCACCGGGCCAATGAGCAAGGAGTGCTAATGAAGAGATGCTGAATTACCTTTTTGCCTTCCTGGACACACAACTGGTGGAGCCTCCTTGATCATCGGTGTCTTTTTATGGATCAGAGTCATTCCCCAGCTTTGATGATGTGCTTCTTTTTTCCCCACCGTTGAGCCTGTCGCAGCACAGGCCACACACTCATGGGTTTACCACCGGCTGCAGCATGTGTGCGATAAGTGTGAAAGAAGAATGAGAGGTCTCTAATCCGAGGCAGTGAGAGAAAACGAGTTTAAAAAGGGTTTATCTGTTTCCAGTCACATAGGATGTGCATTCAAAAAGAGCTGAGCAGACAGACAAAACTCCTGCTGGTCGAAGGCAGGGGGTTTGTCCGCTCATATAGGCTATATATTTTCTGTGCACATTCTTACCCCTGATCATCCCAGGCAACTAGCGTGTAAACAAAGTGGAGCTGTAAATGAGCTGAAGAACCTGATTTTTACTTTAGCAGTTGGAGTGAATTGAGTTGTAGTCAAACCACCACAAAGCAGCATTGACCTCTGCTGGCAATGTATGAACTCCTTTTACCATCACATAAACACTGAAAAGCTTGACGTAATCACAGCCTACTTCAGTGGACCCACAAGTGCAAACAGCATCCCCTCATCGTCACAAGAGGACAAGTATACTTGATTTGATCATGTGCCATTGGAACTCCTGCTTCATGTGTACAGAAGGGGAAGAAAATCAGTATGAATTGTGAGTTTTACATAAGCTGTATGAATTAATTTACATCTTGCACAAATCACTGTCCTTAAAAACTCTGCCGTACTTTTGTTCTTCAAATTTTCCAAAGTACCTCCTGCAAAATACAGTGATTGAAGTGTAAAGGTGGGATCCGACAGAGGCTGCTGAAGAATATAGGAGCTTTTATGAAGGCACAGTAGTGTTGCAAAGTTGCCGTGTAAGGGGGTTCAAGAGACTGTTTTAAAGTGTAAGAGGCTGTCAGGGAATTTAAGAAAGGTCTGGGGTGGTTTAAAATGGCATCTCTGGAGATCGAGAGACGGTTTAGGAATCGATGGAATCGGGGAGGCTTCTATGGAGTTTTTGAAGAAAAAAGAAGGGGTTTAATAACAGGAGGTAATGTAAGTCGTGTTCGCTCCAGTAATGGGTTATCACCAGATATCCAGCACCACCTGTGAAAAAGCACAGGCATGTGATACTGTATTGTTTTGACATATTTATGTGTTTGTTTTCAACTGTGGGACTATGTTGGTCAGGTACAGCGAATGCACCTGAGATGGCGTTAGAACAGTTTGAGGAAAAACAAGTGTTGTTTTAGTGCAGCTTCTGTTTGTTAGTTTTTCTATACATTGATGTGGTTGATGGTGGTAGAAAAACCACAATGCAACAGTGCATCTGGACTGACAGCATGCTGACATGCACACAACAGCATAAAATTGCATTTCTTTTTTGTAGAGAGTTGACATGCATCTGTTTTGGTGCACCATTACTATTATATTGTTCCCCCTGCTGTCTTTTTATGTTGCTGATCACGATTAGAGGAAGGTGTATCAACATGCTCTGCATACAATATGTATAGTTTAAAGCAGGTATTGCTCCCAGCCCATTTTACTATTACCCTGTTAGAAAATAATGCAAAAAATATTTTATGAAAAGTGGCTATATATATAACTATTGAACACTTAATTCACGATCATATTAAAAATCTGAATATTTTAATTAAGGTACTAACAAAGTACTAAGAAGCTATACTCTACAGCTATACATTCTCAGCAGATCATGGAGGTGTTACCTCATGTCTTATCTCTTGTCTCTCACAGGAAGTCCCGTCAACCTAACGTGCAGAGCCTTCTTTGGATACAGCGGAGACGTCAGTCCGCTCATCTACTGGATGAAAGGGGAGAAGTTCATTGAGGATCTGGATGAGGAGCGGGTTCAGGAGAGTGACATCAAGTAAGACCTTAATAAAGCCATGATGTACCCTTATATTTGATTAAATGAACAAAAAAACAATTAACAAACAAAACAAAAAAATTGCATTAAGGGTGAATTTTCTCCAGCCAGTTAATATTACAGCAGACAACATAACCAATTTATGAGGTAATTGTGATCTCTTCAAAAGCAGCAAGGGACCTGAGGGCTGAACTGGTAAACGCCTATTTAAACCCACTTACCACAATTGTGCGGACACACATCAACAAACTGAACAATAAAATGAACCTCTCACCACCAAGGTATAATTTAAATGAATTTCATGAATGCTTTATGTGGCTGTTCAATAATGCAGATAGCTATGCATTCTTTATCGTGTACAATATACATGCACAGTTCAGGCATCACTCCATCAGTAATCAGCTATTACTTTGCACTGAAATATACAGTAAGTGGAGGCAGTAATAGCAGAGCAGCACAGCAGATGGAAACTCCCAATTGAATGTCCGTGTTTGCCTCCTTTTCCATTTGGGTGACCTCCATCTTTTGGCTCACACTCATCACTGGAAACAGAGGTCTGTTTACTCCAAAACCAGGTGGAAACCCGACGGCCAGGCACACACACCGCCTGAAGCTGGCTGACCATCCAGCAATGCCGTATAATTGGCTGGTAGAGGAGCTCTCCTTGCTTTAGGTATTGATGCATTCATTTCATATTGGAAAAATAACACAAAAAAGAAAAATATTGTTCTCCCCAGCTGTCAGGCGGTAAATAGAACATGGTTGGAGTTTATTCATCACATCAGTCTTTTTTGATGACAGCTTTATGCCAACAAATAACCACTTGGATTTCTCATTTGTGTTTGAAACGGTGATGCTTGTTGTGAATAAAAAGTCTAGAAAAATTCAGCAGCAGCGACATCGTACAAACAACAACTTCTGGTTATTACAACTCTGCATGCAGCATTTGGCTGAATTACAAGCTGATGTTTTCTGTCAGTGTCAGTCTCTTTGTTTTGGCTCGCACTATATTCAGGTCATATTGGAAAAAGTGGAGGAAAAAGGACAATGTGTTGTTTTAGCTTGAAAACACCGGCACATGGAACTCATCCAGCATCACTTAATTTGCAAATTTAAAATGAACCATAAACAAACTACAGTGATTAGTCAGTGATTTAACTCCACGACTTCACCTTTAACTGGCAACACTGTTGTATTTACCATTTTTACAACATCATCAGGTTATGGATACACTGGAGACTGCTCATATCATATTAAACCAGTGAAACCAGTTTATACTTGATGCTTGTAGTACAGTGTGATTGACATTAATGTAGGACTGGTGACTGGTTACCAAACTGACACCGTAGTTGACCTTCGCTTTATTATTGGCCATGTAGAAAAAGGTCACAGTTTTCCCATTTGGTGGATTGACAGGAGCAGAGCAAGACGCTGACAGTGTTCTTCACCCACGTTGCTCATCCTCAGATGACCTCCTTCAGAAGAATAATTAATCCACTTTGTCAGTAGAGGAGTCTTTAGTCTATTAATACATAACATGTGTGAAAGGATGGAGATTCTCCTGTTATGAGTTAACAACTTGGTGATTAACCATCTTTGACCAAAATATACAAGTATTATTATATTTTACCTTCATCTCACACAGACTGGTTAATCGTCATATGTAGTGGGAGCACAGGAGAGACTAGAGACTTCCTGAAGAAAAGAGGATTATATGACATAAAAATAGTCAAATATACAAAATGAATACCTCGACAGACACCAAAGTGGGAAAGGTGTTGCTTCGAAATTAACATATAGTGAGTGAATTCTATGTATTTGTGCAGTGGTGCTGTCACGGTCTCCCAGATGTTGTTATAAAAATGCGAGCAACAAATAATCTGTCTTGGGTTTTAGCAGTGAAGAGGAAATTCTTAATCCTCGGGAATGTGTTTCTTTGCTCTGCTGACACCACCAGGGCATTCAGAAAATAAGGCGAAGGAAGAGGGTGTATCAAATCTAACAACAAGGGAAACAAAATCATGAGGAACTGCTCCTTGTTTAGTGGCATCTAGCCATGCAATTAGTTTTGGTTCTGTTTTTCAATGTTTAAAACAAGGGAATGAATGGAATTATGTTAGTGGTGCTCACAGCACTGATACAGATTTATCAGCAATATCTCTTTCCAGAAACAGTGTCCTTGTTTCAAAGGGGATCTATCCTCTTCTCTTTTGGTTGAAAGTGAAATGTGTTTATTATCCTGAATAATAGCGACTTTATTTCATGAAAGAGATGGTTCTTTGTCAATGTTTTAACTATTACAAATGAATTTCCATTCACTTAGAAGAGATGGATATACAAAAAAAAAAAAACAAAGCTGGTTAATGCAGGCAGCAAAATTAGAGAATGCTGCTCTTTTTGTAATTTGGGTAAACCAACCCTTTAAGAGACAAGTTGATTGTAGCCTTCAGTTAACGAACATGTGGATTTGTTTCTCATTGATCAGTTTCTTTTCCAGGAATAAAAACAGCTGGCGTATCTGTATCAGCGCAAGTACACTGCATTTCCTGTGACTGCTTCACATTAAAAGCCACCCAGTGATTTCCCAGTTGATTGGTTTTAATTCAAAGCAGCAGCAGTTAGAAATATTTGATTAGCAGTAACTTAATAAAACTGTGATACATCTGTTGGAGACTGAGAAGAGTGAAGCAATTTAAAACCAGCCCCAAACAATGAAAACACAGTATATAGAGAGGTACTTAATGAATGTAAATACACCAAATGACAGCTATAAATAACATCAAAACTGGATTATAACTTAAACATTTATAATACTAATCAAAGAATGATTAATTTCCTATTTACGATTTTTTTTAAATTTAATTATTTGTTCAGCGAGATATTTCTGCCGGTGTGTCCACACTGAAATACACACCTCAGACCTCATGTCCTGCCCCACTATACTCTTTTGATGTACCACATATAACAAGAAAATCCCTGTTGTTGACAAATGCCATCTAATGAAAAGGTTAACTGTAAGCAGCATGACAAGGCTGGGAGGAGAGTTAGCGGCCCAGTCTGTGACCTGGCATTTCAAGATGTCTGTGTTAGCCTGCTAGCACGCGCCATCCAGCTCTCAGCACCGCACTCTGTTGTGAAGGACACCAGGCCAATTAGAGCCTACAGGATTTGGGGGGGGGGGGTGTAGGTGGAGGGGGCGGCAGGTGGTGGCATTGGGTAGGCGGTATAATAATGATGAAGAAGGAAGAATACTGAGGAGTGCGTCACATACTGTTAGAAACCCTGCTTTCATATGATACTCAAATGAGGAACAAGCCAAGAGATCAAACCTGTGACCATGAGCTGCTTTGCAAAGCCTTTGTCTTTATGAGTGTGCATGGGCAGTATGTGAAGAAGCTTGTGTGCATATACTGGGTACCTACAATACATGCACATTCAAGTTTTTCAAGTGCTTATTTTTTGTTGTGTGCCACTGCGTGACACTGTCTCCCTCTGCATGTTTTTATTTATTTTATTTTTTCGTTCCCATTTGATTGTGCACCACTTCAAACCCACTCCCTGACATCATTCCACGAGCTTTTAGCTTTGAAATGGAAATTAATCACACAGGAGTATTCCCTGAAGGGCTGCCTGTAATACATGAAATGGAGCTTTTGGCACAATGTTTCACCACTGAGATTCAGAGTTGATATAAAATGTTGTGGCTGCAGAACAAGACTTTGTGGATCTCAGAGGTGAAGACCAGAGGAAGTTTCAGTCCCTGGTGCATGGGCATGCAGCACCCTTTTGAGCAGCAGTTCAAGAGTGAAGTTTCATTTTCTAACACTAATTAATGCTCATACAGATATATTCATAGGAATGAGGTGAAAAAACTGGGTACTTATGGGCTCTATTAGTCAATTAGTGCTGCGAACCTAGTAATTTATAGCATTTTACATCGTGACAGGCTAACAGTAATATACGTCTTTATTGAAATCTATACATTAGTGATTTGATGGTTTGATGGAGGAGGAACTCTGTGCAGTGTTGGGGGAGTCAGTATCTCACTAGCAGCTAGCCTGACTCTATTTACTGTACAGACATGAGTGGTATCAATCTTCTCATACTCTTAACAAGAAAGCCACAAAACCTATTTCCTAACAAAGTATCCAGCTGCAGCCAGCAAGGTGTTTTAAAATAAAGCAAAGCAGGACAACACGGTGCAGTCCAAAAGTTCAGGTGTCACATCGCGGCTGCTGGGACCGAGACTGTACGAGATAATATCAGGCAAAGATATATCACAATGCTTAGAGATGATGATGATGATGATGGGATGCTGTGTGATCCTGCAGCACATTCAGAGGAGGTGTTTTTGTCCGATAAAAGGCTCCAAGCTCATGTGAGATGTTTGTTCAGGTTTCAAATGAATAATGATGTTGTAATCTTCCGCCTCCCAGCTGCTCGCTCTCACCCCTGCTGTGTAAAAGATTGATTTTACACTAAAGGATCTACAGTAAAACTGATCTTGGTTCTCTGTTAGTTTTACCGCATGAAACGTTAAGTCACAAATCCAAACTCAAACTCTGAGATGTTTGTCGAGACGGCCCCGAAGTGTGTGTCGTCATGTTACCTCGAGCGTCTCAGTGAGTCATTGTGGTGCAACAGTATCCTCACTCTACAGCGTCAAAGATCCAGGTGCACTTTCATTTCCATCCAGTTACACGGCACCAGCTTACCACTGTCCTTTACTTTCATACACAGCAGCTGGTAGATGTTTGTGTGGGAGAGTTCATGCTTTGTGATTCTTCTTTTTCAGCTACACACTTCCTCCAGCTCCTGTTTCTGTCTCTCACATGTGAATCCTCACTTGTATACACAAATACACACAAACACACACACACACACTCAAAACTTGATGAGTCTTTTTGTAAAGATTGATTTTTTTTTTTCCTTTGCTAAGATTGTGTTTCAGCTCAGTCTATGTTGAGTCACACATGGGTGCCACCTCTTTAAAAAGCCATCAACATGGATCTATATCCCAACCTTGTGGAGCCCCCTGTCTCTGCCTGACTGGCGGCACAATGGAGAAGGATGAGTGTTAGACAAGCTCGTAGGAATTAAGAGAAAAGGCTGAAATAATTTCCCTCTCACATACATGCTCGCACAAGTCACCTTTATGCTCCCCTGCAGAAGATCAGCTTAAAAACTACTACTTCATAATTATTTTTTATAAAGAAACTAGTCCATGTAGCTACGAAAGTTTACCTCTAATGGTTCTTCATTGCACATGGTCAATAAAAGAAATTTCCCTGCGAGCGTGGTTTTTCTATGTGCGATTCTAGTTATTAGCAGCACTTTGTAAAGCTAATGTAAGACATTGACATGGCAGCAGTGGTTGTATTGTACTTGGTCTTTAACTCCCCAGCATTTCTCAATCTGCTTTGTTTAGTCTGTTCATTGATCAACAAGCATTAGATGAGTTTTCATATTCAGATGCCCCGCGGCGGGCGGTAGATGAATGCCCAAGTGGCACTCGTACCTTTTCACACTATTAGCCCTATGCATCATTTAACACGGGTTTGAAATAGCTGCAATTTTTGTAACCTTAAAAAGATTATCTGCACATACATCATTCATGCTTTTGCACAGCAGCCCAGCAGGAGAGATTCACCTCTGTTAGCCGTCATTGTTTTCCTGTTGTTCTCCTTTTGTCATAGGAGTTTGCTGCAAATGCTTTAACCGAACTTTATAAGTATGACTGGGTTTAATTTGATTGATTACATCTTGTTTTATAACTACATTCTCTCAAGACACTTAGCCACACTTCTGACCGATATTCTCCCTCAGAACTACTTGTTAGATGTTAGGATAGACACACACACACACACACACTCAGCATCAGATTAGGGAGGTCTGCGTCCTACCGTTTCTGTAGCTTTCCAAAACCAATAATGCACATGCTAAGCATCAACATGTTAGTATTGTCATTGTGCGCATGTTAGCACGCTGATGTTAGCATTTAGGTCGAAGCACAGGTGTGCCTCCGCACAGCTTCACAGAGCTCCTAACGGCTGTTGACTCATAGTTTTTTTAATACAAAAGTTCTGGTAATTTGTTCTGACAGTACTGCCTCTCCTCTGAGAGGCTGACAGCACACGTAGGAGTTATTTTTATCCATACCTCAAATTCAATCAATACATTAAGATTCTTGCTCAGCTTTGCTTTCTGCAGCGTACAAATTTAACTGTAGCTCCAGCACTGAAACAAACTGTCACCCAGTATTAGATGAGCTGAATCAATTGCCTATTTTAAAGGGTTTTTAAACATCTTCCTGTAGATTGACAAAATCCACATTGTCTGACTTCTAAGCTGGAAACCGCTTTAGTTCTGACCACAGATGATTAAGTAGCAGCTTCTTGTAAAGAAGAGCTTCGTAGTTAAAAGGTGTTAAAGGTATACCTTGACATTTTGAGGGCGGGGTGTCATCTCTACCTGTTGACTCGTTAGCATTGTCAGTGCTTCTCATTGCAGCCAGTTAGATACAGCACGATGCTGTTCTTAAAGACACTGATAATGAAGAGGAGGCTGGTAAAATCCATTTTTGGCTAATTAACACAACACCCTGCCAAGTGTTCAGTGAAGAAAAATAGGTGTCTAAGTTTGACAGTGTCCTTCCAGTGCAGTCCCTGTGATGAAATAGAGTAGTGGCTTCTAGTCTTTTGTGTGTGTTGACTGAGTTCTGTTTAACAAAAACGTCAAAAGAGCTCTTTTTTCTCTCACTTACCCTCGTGGCAAAATATTCTGTGATAGGTCAGCGCCGTAGTGCAGCATGACAGTCGCACTATTATCCCTGTACCAACATGTCACAACCAATAGACATCAAGAGGCTCAGCGAGTCAACAAAGGAGTATTTTAAATGGGAGAAATCTGTCATGACTCATATGATGCTGGCATCTTGTCAGTTACGGACTGTCACCTCCCACCTTTGTTATGCACTTTTGCTTCACTGATGAATTAAAACGTTACCACTGAAAAGCTGCCACCAATGGCAGCAGATTATAAAGCTTGGAATGAAACCAAGTTCTGTCTGATGTAGGTATCTGCATATTTATGATTTTAGAGAGATAGGTGTAAAGGTACAATATAACGGTATAAAGGGCCTAGCAGTTATACCTAGAGAATGACACATTGGGGACACTGTCTCAGAATTGCACTCCACTCAGATGGAAGTTTATAACTCCAAGGTCATGATTTATGAATCTTAGGATGCAAACTGTAGACACAACTCAAATTTCCTTGGGGCAAACTTTTTTTGTCAGAATAATCCATATTTTATTAAAGAGTCAATACTCTCGACTTATGACTTTTTGACCGCCTGCAGTCTAGAGTTATTGTTTTCCATAGTTTTTTTTTTATTATTATTATTTTTTATTTTTTATTTTTTTTGGTACACTTATTCAGAAAATGTGATCTGATAATGTTATGTGGAATCTGTAGTCACAGACCATACCTGCAAACATTGAGACTCCAAAATTAAAAACACAAGTTCAACTCTGCATGTTCTCTGATGTGCTGAGTCTGTTTTGTCTCATCACAATCAGACTTCTTAAATGGAGACTGTGAGAAGTTACTTTGATGTACGCCTTACGGTCAGTAATGAGGTGGCTGGACTCCCTGTTTGGGCAAATGTTTGAAGTCATGTTGGTGTTCAAATTTTATGAAACAGCTCGTACGTTGGTTTTCGTTTTTTCCAACCATGAGTCATAAACTTGTAAAAGCAGACATATGTGTCAGTTGGCCCGCACTGATTAACTGATGGTTGCTGTCCACCATCAGCAACTTCATGTTCGACACTTGCCTTTGGCTCAAATACTAAATCCTCCTTTCATCAACAACACAGCGCCACAAAATCTCAGTGTTGTCTGATCTGTCTGAGGCCAAATCAGATTGCTCCCAAAGGCTGTTACTGTACTTACTTTGTCATGCTAGACAAACACTTTCTGCATGTATTTGTTAAGATGAATGGCGGGGAAATGAAGGGAGCAGACAATTATTCTTGACTCTTTTACTCTCTCAGGTAAAATGACCAAAGCTAGAGAGAACATTAACAATCTGACAGTTCCCTCCTTTGATATATTGACGTAGTGTGTCTTAGTACTGCTTCATTTTCAAACAGATACACAGACTGTATTCATCACTGCCCCAGTAATTCAAGAGGCAAATCAGGTTTAGAGCAATGTTTTTCTCACTTTTTAGCATGTATTATTCAGCTTAGTCTTTTTGACAACAATAGCCTCTGATTTTCCCAAATTGTAATTATTGCATATCAAAGCTGCAGTAATTAAGGTTTTTTATTAACAATGAATGAAATAACTGTGAAAGGTGTTTTTCATCATGTCAAACCCACCTCACCATTCACCACTCTCAACACTTTTACTCACTTTTGCTCTTTGGAGTCTTTGGCCTGTTGCTCTGAAAAAGCTCAGTTACACCTTAAGGGAAATTTTTCTTTAGATTTGGTACAAACGTCCATTTGGACTGAAGGATGAACTGATTCGATTTTTGTTGTTAAAGGTCAAGGTCACCGTCCCATCGTGACAAGGGCTTCAGTGTTTTATTAAGTCAACCCTCTTCACTTTGTCCCCACGGATGACAACCAGGACAGGGCGCCTCGACATTAAAGCTGCATGACATAAAAACCAAAACAATGAGCTGAAAGACTTCAAATGTCCCATAGAGTTTGGGGGAACTACATCTCTTCAAGTGACACCTTTCACATTAGTCATTTTATTGCATTGGTAATGCTAAAATATTAATTGATGAAGTTTTAATTCAGTCTGTTTTGCTGATTTAGTTTACATTTACTGAGTGAAATGCACAAATAACTTAGTGAATTGCATTGAAGCCAAATTCTATATTAAATTGTATGAAATTTAAGGTATTAAAAAAGTGCTTTGGTCTTCAGTCGCAAAAATCAAGTTTTAGTTCATTCATTTCCTTAACACAAATTCCTCTACCAACACCAGCTTTTAATCAGACGCATCAGCATCCATGTGAAATCTCAATTTGCTTTGCTTCTATTTGCCCCCCCCCCCCCCCCCCCCCCCCCCCCCCCCTCCCCCCCCCCCCCCCCCCACCCCCCCCCCCCCCCCCCCCCCCCCCCCCCCCCTCCCCCCCCCCCCCCCCCCCCCCCCCCCCCCCCCCCCCCCCCCCCCCCCCCCCCCCCCCCCCCCCCCCCCCCACCCCCCCCCCCCCCCCCCCCCCCCCCCCCCCCCCCCCCGCAGGACAATCCGGGAGCACCTCGGGGAGCAGGAGGTCTCCATCTCGCTGACCATCGACTCTCTGGAGGAGAGCGATCTCGGCAACTACTCCTGCTATGTGGAGAACGGCAATGGACGTAGACAAGCCAACATCCAGCTCACCAAGAAGGGTGAGGCGAGCACACACACACACACACACACACACACACACACGTAGATAAATTCATATAATGAAAAAAAGTTCTGTTATTCTAAGTCTCTCTCTTACAATGAATATAGGAGATCAGTGTAAAAGCCTTGATATTTAATGATGGAATGTTACAGCTTTGGAGGTGAAAAACACCATTTCATACCACAGGCCTTCGCTCTGGCAATGAGTGACTCACTCGCAACAATTTACTGAGCCCAAAGAGGAACAACTAGCGGGATTCTGGGAATTGACCAGTTGTTTCTTGCCTCGGGGAGGAAAAAAAAATGGGACAGTATTGTAGATAGTCCAGAGAGCCGATTCATCCACCCGGGCCTGAGGAAACATTAGTTTGCAGAGAAAGAAAAAGCGTTTTTCGGAGAGAGGCAGCCTTCGGTGTTATGATGCCAGACAAGCTGTTTAGCTGTCTGGCACTGACCTCCCCCAACACACGCACACACACACACACACACACACACAAATCCTCCTTTGATCGCTGAACTCTCACTCAGACATCTTCTCATCTTTCGTCACTGGCTACTGTTGCCCCCCCCCCCTCGTCTTTCTATTCCAGAGACATTTTTGAGTTTTTCCTCTTGATTTCACCTCACAGAGGTAGAGGAGAGGAAGGCTGTCTGATGATTTTAAATACAGATGCACACTTTTCGATGTGGTTATATAAGTGATATTTTTTTTATTTTTTAGCGAGGCTAAGGAGGGGTCTCTGTAGCCTTAAAGTTGTCAGTGTTGAATACATTTACATACTAGATATTTTCCTCTCTTTTAAGCTCGCAGCTTTGGATCCAGCTTTGATGGCAGCCCAGTTCCCCTCCATTTGCTATATTAAAGGGGTTTATGCTGCACAGTCGAATCTCAGAATAAACCGGAGAAGATTAGCCAGGGCCTCGCAGGATTGCTGGTCTACGAGAAATTGACCCGTTTCCATGTTTTTATTTGCTGCATCTGTGTTGGGGTGCAGTACAAGGCCAGTCAGTGTTTACGCTGCTTTTCAAAAAGCGTCAAAGTTTTCTCTTGAAGCCGTGAAAACGGCACATGACACTCCAAGTGAATTTGGTCGTCTCAGCGTGAGAATGTCTTTGCTCCCTCCCTGCTCGCCTCTTTTTCTGTCGCACGCACACACACACACGCGCAGACGCTTTGAACGATGCAGCTTCACTCAGAATATGTCTTCAGTTGTGTGTATTTTAACATGGAGATGTGTCCTTATTTACATTTCTTGTACAACTTCTTGTAGTTGAGAAGTTGTGATTCTCCAATTGCCCGTGGCCAACTTTTTTGCCATGGCAACATATCCTGAGATAATGTATTTCTCTCACAACAGCAGCAACAACACCAACTAGTGCACAGCTGCCTGTAGTGTATAATGATAAATAACATGTAGATCCTTGATTGTGAAAGTGAAGAGCAGCGGTCTCAGCTTCCACACATCTCACTGCAGCTTCCCTTTGTTTTATTTTACCATCCAAACCCTACCCTGCCTTTTCTTTTCCTCACTCTTTTTTTTTATCTCCCTCCCTAGACAGAGAGGCAGAAGTAGAAGGAGAGAAAGGGGTGATGAATCGCCCGATGCCATGTGGCTCCATCAAATCCAGCCTTCTAGTCGTCAGGAGCTAATTTGTCTTAATCTGTCCCACTGCAGCGGTGCTACAATATGGATGCCAGGCAGAGAAGAATTGGCCTCCTCCACTGTAATCTCTGCTACTTGAGGAGCAGCTGGTTCGTTATACTGTCCAGATATCTGAGGCAGGAGGGCAGAGTGGATGTGTAGAAGACTGTGAGGGAGAAATGGAGTTGCTTCTCGCACTGCTTGTTAGCCGCAGCACCTCTTGTAGAAAAGTAAACTAATTCAGACTGAGGGGAGAGAAACTCGGACAAGAGGAGGAAGTCAGAGGCTCAACAGGGAAACCTGTGTTCACGCTGCCATGACTTTGTTTGCGCTTTTGTTTGCATACGTCCGAGAGTTTGGCTGAAGGTCGTCGACCGGACAGACACGATGAAGCGATGCGGGCCATGCTCGTTAGCTCTCCAGAACATCATCCTTTATCACGGGAGCTGTCAGCCTGATGGCCGCTGCAGTGGGATGGGCATTGCGCACTCCAACGAGGTTAAATGGGCATCCGTGATGGATGGTGATGCACGCGAGTTCTGTCCATCCGTGTTTATGTGTGCGCGTGGCATTGCAGCAAGTCCAGCCTTTTACCGTTGTCCATTAGTCAGCCAATGAAGGCTGACCACCCGGATTTTGTGAGCCGTAGCCAAGAGGAAATGTTGAACTGCGAAAGATGGAGTGACGTTCTGATAGAAAACACTGTAAGAAAGAAAGAAAAGCCTTGAAAAAGAGACAAGATCATGAAAAGATAAAGCAAATGACTTGATTTTCAAGGCAAGGTACTAGACCATGGAGCCTAATGGTTGAGTCCATTGTCCTGTGGTGTAAAATATCACCTCTCATCCTCCTGAATAAGTCTAGTAGTCTGGCCTCTACAGAATATTTTCATCTCGTGGACCTTCATTTTAACAGTACAAGTCACAGTTTAAAAGAATGTGTTGTAAATCTGAAACATCAACAGTGAAATCTAGTAGTTGTGTGAATTTAGCTTCCACTGATGCTTTTCATGAGTTCACGTCAAGCTACAGCGATGACAGATGGCCGGGAGAGCGGATCGCTTCGATCTGTCGCCAAACAGGCAGTTCAGCCCGACAGCCCGGAGCTTTAGCTCACCTCGCGCCTCTCTGCAGCGGTACACACGTGTAACCGATCTTCATAAGTGTGGCAGTCTGATCTGTCACATACTATTGTCGCACCGCTTGCCTAGTGTAAGTTTTTTATTATCCAATCAAGCCAAGAGGCGTTAAGTGACAGGTATAGAAGTGGCTATACTTTCATTCCAGTCGGAGCGATACGTCACCTGGATACAATCCAGCCACACTGACAAAGTAAGTAATGAGGAAAAATGGAGAGGAAAAGCAAGAAAAAGCGATACAAACAGAGAATGAATGAATACAGCCGTAGGAGATGATTAAAAGACGTTTTCAAACAAATGTGGAGGTACGGCAAAGTCATTTCATAACATGGAGTCTTGTAACAATAGCCGGTGCAGCTTATCCATGCCTGAATAGTATATGTCACGGAATCAGATATCTTTGGCAAGATTTAGTTTGGTGATTTAAAGCAAATTTTCTGAAAATTTCAAATCATAGAAACTAAAAAATAGATCTTAAATAATAAAAATCTGCAGTATATGGATAATCGATGGCTGGAGACGGTCCACTGTGCCTGTCTGCTGCCGTGTTGTGATGATCCTGGACTTTTATACTTCATTCAACTGGTGCTAGTTAAAATGTTCCAGAGTGCATGTTTTCTTAGTTACACGTCAACAAACGATCTCTTTCTCTTCCTCCCTCTCACTGTGTTTGACACATTAGCAGAGCTCATGTACACGGTGGAGCTGGCCGGAGGTCTGGGAGCCATCCTGATGCTGCTGATCTGTCTGGTGACGCTGTACAAGTGCTACAGGATCGAGCTCATGCTCTTCTACAGGAACCACTTTGGCAGTGAGGATATAGATGGAGGTAAGATGAGATAAGGTGCCAGACATAATTTACTTTACACCATTATATAATAATCTCCCATAATCTGTGATACCACAGTGTTTGCTATTTGGTGGAGGATTTCTAAAACACCTTCCACTGCTGTGAAAGCATCCGTTCTTTCCTCTGTAGGGATTAAATCCCAAATCCCAAACCGGAGCAGTATCAGCGCTGCTCTGCACACATTTATTTTTACTCGGAAAACACCTGGGCTATTTTTCATATCTTGAAGCTGCATGTGGCACTATTTTTATGTAAATATACATCTGTTTTATCACTGTAAATGACATAGTGGCTGCAACAGAGAAGAGCTTCCCATAGTTTCTAACTCATAAATTCTGTTGTCAATTTCAGTGAATCTTCTCAACCCACGAGAAGAGCTAAATCAAAAAAAATGTATGCAAATTATTCTGTAAACTGTCTCCTTAACGGCAGCTAACAAGTCAACAATCTTTGATCTCGCTCCCTTTCTTGTCACATTTGCATCCTCGTAAAAACTAATCACAAGCCGGCTTTGTAAAAATGTTCATGCTGGGTGCTGTACCCTGACATCACAATGCATGACTTCTGGGTAATGAAGTTTGGATTTTCAAACGGTTCCCTCTCGCTGCGTTTTCGGAGCCTCAAGCGGGCAAAGTTGCGGAGTTTAGATTTAAAAAGGAAAATGCAGCCTTGATCATTCAAACACTTTGAATACTGTAGTGCCTGGTGATGTAGTTTTATTTCCAGGTACATTTGGTTGTTGTGTATTTTTTATCATTATTATTCTGTTGGATAGCAACAACACACAGGAGACAAAATAATGTGAACAGCAGTCAAACCCCAACATGCTCCATACGCCTATCATGTCACTGTCATCGTGCTAATAGCTGAATATCCTATCACAATTCATTCTGTTTTGATGATAGCATGGTTTGATCTCTCAGTTCTTCTAAATGCTGTAACTCAAAGCTCATTATCTTGAGTTATTGAAAAAAGGTTCTAGGAAATGTAGCGTTTCTGGATATTGCTCCATCGTGAAAATCATTTCTGAAATGCACTGAAAACCACAAATTGCTCGCAATGAACAGAATTAGTGTAATGAAGAAGATATTGATAAACTAAAGCTACAGCGAGGTTGCGATCACGCACATCTGCTGTTGATGCTTTCCTTTGTGTCTGCATGCGAACTGGACATGAGCGAGAATGAAAGCGAGTCAAAACACAGTCCCTGTGCTAGACAAAAGCATTGACTCTGAGGCCCCATCAGCAATAGTAAAAAAAAAAGCCTCTGATTGGGCCTGGTGGATGAGTCTTGGTTTGAGAATGCATCAAACTAAGACAAGGAGCAAGTTTTAATTTGATTCCCCTGTAATGAGTCTCTCAAGTACCGGCGCTGCAATGAATTCAGGGGGAATGAGATTAGTTCGGAGAGGCTCAGGGACTATATGTGGTGGAAGGAGAGACAGCGAGAGAGTTATGAGTGTTAAAAGGTAAAAAGTATTCTGTACCCGGCTCCTCTCCTCATACACTCCCGGCTCTTGCCTAACCGTGATGGCTGCTACATCAGACATTTCAATGAAAGTCATTACCTCTGGCGGCGTTGGGCTTCCGGCCTCAGAAAGCTGAGCTTTGCCGTAATGGATGGCCCAGGGGCAGTTGTGTTGAAAAAGGGAAGAAAAAAATGTCGGGCCTTGAACTTAATGCCAAACAGCAATTGTCTCCTTTAATTGTGCCACCCGAGTGAGTGCTTGGAGAGAGAAACAGATTTTCAATTTGTTCTCCAGTATAAAGGGGATCAGGTTCAATAAGACACAGCACGCTGCCTCCAGAGCTCTCAGGAGACCCCTGATACTTTCCTCCATGCCACAGTCAATTAGAGCACTTCACTGCCACCTCTGGCACGCACACTTTCTCGAGCGTGCACGCACCTGCACCTGCATCGCAGGTCGTCTCTGAGTACCAATGACAGTTTACTGCAGACTACGGACAGCCTAGCGTAGAGGGTGTGAACAGCAAAGGATAAGGCAGTAAACGGGAGCCAGACTGGAAATGGTTGCCCGTCGAGCGGAGACAAAACAGTCGCTAAGCAATGGCAGGGAGTGGTTAACCGAGATCCCATCTCTATGGTAACCGCTGCACTGACAGGGAGAAGTAGCTGCATGTAAGTTATAGATGCACACACACACATTCTTCATCAATAAAGCCCTTAAGCCGGTGTCTCGGATGCACAGAAATGTTTTTTGCTCCAGCACAACTCTGAGCACTCTGCCAAGAAAGTGCTCGTGTTTCATTGTGGCCACTCAAAGTACTAATTGAGCACCTGCCTCCCTCTTCTGCCAGATGTACAATTGTAAGCTTTACGTAACAATAGGATGGACTGTCAGCTATTTGTCAGCAGCGCAATTTAGTTAAAGACCACTCAGTTGTCACATTGTGTGGGTGTCAGTAGAATCAATAATAGGCTTCATGATGACAACAGCCGAGCAAGCTTGTCACGGAGGTGGGAACTCATCAACACTCTGCCATAAATACGAATGTCAGTGTTGTCAGTGCGGCGTGGAATTATGAGGCTGCGTCTGTGTTCGGTGTAGTTCTGCAATACTGAGCATTAATGGCTTTCACATCACGCACACAGAGCTACTGTAACGCATCCTGTTTCATTTGCACTTCAAAATGCAGAAGTAAACATCAGGAAAAAGCTCATTTGTAATCAGAAGGTCAAGCGGTGTCTCGATTCTCCAAAGTGATATTGTCAGAAGAAAAGACAAATGGAGAGTTTACACTACACACCGTCTGTGCGGCTGAGACGTCACAGATAAATGTAGAGACACTTTATTTTCCAAATTTGGCCGTATGCAGTTCTCAAATCCAGTAATGATCTAATGTGCTAATAATCACACTTTGGTGACAGCTGTAACTTAAAGGGACCTTTTATTACCCTAGCCTAGCAAGATTAGCTAACTCTTTGATGTTCTTATTGTGGAGTCATTTTTCTAAAGCAACAGTACTGGCCCTAATCCTAGACTATTATCTGTTTTTCTTTTAATTAAAACAAGGACAATGTCATATATGAAGATACTTATCTTCTTGTCAAACACAAAGTACATGTACAATGTACTAATTTTGAAAAAGACTCAGACCTTCAAACCGGAAGCATTACCTCGCTTTTTTCTGACATCTTATACATCACATTTGTTCTTAACTAATTGTTAACGGAACTGCTCGCCAGAGTTAATGTAGTCTGATACAACAGCACAGCAATCAATCCTTCCTTCCTGAGGTTTATGATTGTTCTGCTTTTGTTGAAGCTTTGTAGAGAGGTGTTCATGGTCATTTTGGCAGCTGTACTTTTCGCCCTTGTTCAGTTGTATTGTGTGATTCTGAGAGGTGTTTTCTAATATTTAGTGTACTCCATTTGTATTAATAAGGGTAAACAAGACTCCATTTGTTTTAACTATGTGTATCTAACAAGCTAGCAACTGAGTGTATATGAGAAAATAAAGTAAATATGATGAACACAGAGCCCAGAATATCATACTGTATTCAAGCAAGGACCAAACCAAATTTTAAAACAAAATTCAATTACTGCATCTCATAGATAGTCTACCTTCCACTGTCTGATGCAAACCCTTATTCTTCTGGGTAAATTAAATTATGGAAAACAAAATGGTATGTTTAAAAAAAAAAAAGCTCTGCTGCTCATTAGCAGTCCACCCCATGTGCTTTTGTAGCTCCAGAGTTAAGTATGTGTGTTACGTTTCCAATCTACTCTCCATTAAATGTAATGGAGCCCAGAGATATCCCAGAGATTACGCCTCCAACTCTCTTGGCGCTCTCCATCGTAAGTTCAAGAGTTCACAATCTAACTGTGGGCTCTCTATTCGCATATGCATATATTACCCCCCCCACCACCACCACCACCACCAGCACCACCAGCACCACCAGCACATGCAGTGAGCATCAGTCAAGCCGATTCCTTTGCAGTCGGCCTGTGGGACAGAGGAGTGCAAAATGTCGGATGTAGTTACGGAGGTGTGTTGCACCCTCAGATGCACCTCAGTAGTCACTCCTCAAGATGCAAGAAGAGGGTCATTCCACCTTCGAGGTTCACCCTCTCCCCCTCCCTCCTCTCTCTTTCTCTCTACAAACGAGTGAATCAGCTCCACTAAAATAGCCCTTGATCTGCCTACACAGCTTTTGTCTAAAAGCTACCGGAGAAAAACAGAGAAGGAGATTTATGTCACCATGAAGTAGAATATAAGCCTCAGAGTTGGTTATACTAAGTGATTATGAGGTTACATTTCAATTATTTTTTCATGTCCCTGATGCTGTAAAACAAATTGAATGTTATAAAAACGAGTTAGATTAATTACATGGTGTCATGTAAGAGTGGTGAGCACTTGCCAAATATCAAGATTACCCACTGGGAAGCGAGTGAATCTTGTTGACAGTCTCATAGCTCAGAGAGAGGCAGGAGTGTGAAATGGAGGATATTAGAAGCTACATACATGAGATGCTATACTGACATTTGATTCCAGATTCCCTCCTCTTGAAACCATGTGTTCTTCTCCTTTTCTCTACCTGACTTTCTCATCCTCAGCTCCCATCATTTCCGGTGTCTGGACAGGTTAAACATCAGCTGCCGGCTCCCGCTCCGCCATAAAGCAGTGGTCGTAATGAAGTCGGGAACTCGCGCATCCAACCCTGCTCGTGTCTCTAATGAGTTTACCTCAAAGGCTGTGTTCACGCCGAAGCTCACGGTGTCCCAGTTTTGATTTTCCCCTCCTTGCGTGACACAGATGTGAGGGTTTTAGTGAATAAAGAAACGCATAGAATCTGATATTTTCATTTCTTGTGATTACGACCCCAAAATATGACACGTGACAAACTGCAGTCGCAACTGGCAGATTGTAATTTTTCTCATTTTAAAGAGTCAGTTAAAAAATATTACCACAGAATAAAAGAAATGTACCACTCTGACCTAGCGTCGCCTGGCTTACAGATAGTTTCAGTTTTACACACAGAGGACTTTTGACCGGCTCAAAACATAGAAAACTTGTCATTTGAACAGTTTTTCTTCCATATTAAGTAGCTCCAATGAAAACTGTTCTCTGCGCACGATTCCTCAAGGTTTTTGGTACCTGACTGCAGGGTTTTGCTATCGTTTAGTCACGAGCATTAGTGAGGTCAGGCCCTGATGTTGGGCGATAAGACCTGGCTCACAGCTGGCGTTCCACTTCATTTCAGAGGTGCTGGAACTGAGTTAAGGTCAGGGCTCTCTGCAGACGAGCCAAAGTCTTGAAGCCGCGTGCACAGGGGCACCGTCACGTAGAAGGACCCTCCATGTTACTGCCACAAAGCTGTTACTGTAGGAGCCAGAAGCTGTTAGAGGCTCTGTGATATCTCACTTCCATGTCTTCTATTCCCAGCCTTCTGCCTCACTGTGCTGAGGTGCTCCAGCCTGAGAAGAAACATTCGTCTTCTCTCACTTCTCACTTTCCGTCTCTCCACTCAGTCCTTTCAAATCTGTCATCAGTCAGAGCTTCTGTGCGAGTGATGGAGCCACCCCCATGCACCGGCCTAGCAGGCAGCGTTGGGCATTTAGCTCAGGCTGGAGTCTAATATGTTTTACCCACATTGGGCAAAGCAGCTATTGATGTAACATTATTCATCAGTGGGGATGGAGCAGTAATGAAAAGCACTCAGATGGGCAGAGGTGCCAAGAGGTCAGTGTAATGGAGGCGTCCTGCCTCAATGAAGTCTCCCACTGAATGAATAGCTCTCTGTGCACCAGTATGAAAATGGATTGTGAGCATCTGGAGTATAGCAGTGAATAACTTTGCTGACCAAAGCAGGAAACATTATAAAACATACACGCATTTAATTGAAGCAAAGTGGTTTTGGGAGCTTTTCAATGTCCATACATGAAGTGATGTTAGTATTCAAGGGAACAGACTTTATTGTCTCTCCACACACCTGCTTGATAGGAGGGATTATAAAACTAAACGAAAAAGGTCTGTTTGAGGGGTCGGAGGGCAATAAAACTCTGCTAACAAACTCGGCTCTATTCTCTGGTGGGTAACAGGAGCTGTGACGTTTCTCCTCTGCCTGCAGATAACAAAGACTACGATGCTTACCTGTCCTACACCAAAGTGGACCCGGACCAGTGGAGCCAGGAGACCCGAGAGGAGGAGCGATTTGCCCTGGAGATCCTCCCCGACGTGCTGGAGAAGCATTATGGGTATAAACTCTTCATTCCAGACAGGGACTTGATCCCCACAGGAAGTAAGCTCTCTCTCTCACGGCGATGTCAAGTTGTGTCGAATGTTTTGTCACTTGGTGTTGCTCGTGTTGTCAGTGCAGTGGTGATATGCCTTGTTTGTTGTTTTCTGTTATGCATTTGTGTTGTGGCGTAACTCGACCTGTAAGACCATTATTGTTTTAATTCGATCATTAAGAAATGAGCTTTTTCTAACCACCGGCTGAGCTGAGGTGGATCAGTAAGCTAAAAGCAGACATTGAGGTGTTTTTCGGTTTAGATTTGAGGAGAAAACAGGAAAAGAATAGGAAAATCTAAAACGGGAATGGGAACATTTTGCATTATTTCTTTAATTTCAGGAGTTAGTTTGAATACGACTGCTGACAACAGCCCCCGCTCATCTTTCCCTGCTTGTTGGAAATAAGATATGAACTTAGTGGTAATACAGACATATCAACTGTTCTGAACGAACCTCTTTAAAGTTTTGCAATCCTAAAGGAGGTGATTCCCAGCCAGGGCTACCTGTATGCCAGGGGAGTCCTTCCACCGTTAGGAGCCACGCACACATCCGTACATTTTTCATAGGCGCTGCGGAACAATAAGCTGCACAAACAAAGCAAAGAAACAGCAGCTGCACACTGCTGTCTTGTTCCTCGGTGATCTTTAATGCTGCATGGACTGGACAGCGCAAAAAGGCCTTCCTCAGATGAAGCCAAGGAACAACATGGCAGTGTGTGGATACTTTTTTACTTCAGTGCCACTTTCCTGCATTTTCCAGGGACTACGTGGAAAGACTGTGAAGCGGCTTAACTAATAAATAAAATGAAATTACCATTTGACCTACCATCCAAATGACTGTTCAAGGAAGTGTTAGGTCATTGCTTATGAATTTACCAGTGGCGGAAAGCAACTAAGTACTTTACAGTACTACGTACCTTCATTTCCATTTTATGCTACTTTATGATTCTACTTCACATTTAGTGGGGATATTCTACTAGAACTTACCTTGCAGGTTAATATTTGTCATTCAAAACATTTTATCCTCTTATAAATATGGCACATTGTTGTGGATTCTGCCGCCCAAATAAAGACAGCGAAATGTGCTCCACCTCCACAAGATGAAACATTAAAATTCTGCCTGCACTTAAAACATCAGCAGTAAAATAATATAGCTCTAACATAACTCTTGGATGAGTGGTTTCACTTTTGTCGTTTCAGTAAATTATGCAGATAAGAGTTTACCCACTGAAGAGAAGTTTTTAATGAAGGACTTTCTGAATACTTCTCCCTCCACAGGACTTACCCAACTCAGTTTAACTTGCTACTAGATTTACACAATGTTCAGAAACGAATCCCTGCAGTCTTTCCTGCAATCTGACCTGTTCTTTGTGAAAGTGAGTTATAAAAAACCAGAACATTGTGCCTTAAAAAAAAATACTCACCAGAGGTGTGGAAAGAGGTCTGGACGTACCAGTTGAGTCTGTATGTGCTCTAGTATTCGAAGGGCATCATCTACACTATGTAAAACCTGTGGGAGGAATAATAGCCCGTAATACATATGCAGCATAATTAGCAGAAGGAACCAACCCTATTATTACAGTCCGTGTTCCTGATCCAGCTCCATACAAACTGTACCTCTGCATGCTGCTGTGTGATGTACAATCAAAAAGCTCTTTATGCATGGATATTAATGCATGTTTTGCTACAGTATATTTCTAATGGAGCCTCTCATCATGCCCCGTGCTTATCTTTGATTAACTCATCACACAGATGAGTTTGATAATATCATTATGTTATTAGCCTCCATTTGAATACTTGCATCTGCCTGTCTTCCCGCACATACCGCCATTACTAATTATGTTCCTCTTCAGTGGCATTGTGCCAAGGTTATAAACCGAATCCCTTGCTGTGATTATGTGCTCGATGCGGGGGGACTGATGTAATATGGGAAAAATGGCATAAAAATGCAAGGATTGAGAAGAATCTAAAGAGTGTCTGCCACTATTCCAGCCCGGTGACACAGCTCACTGGCTTATTGTGTCTATGTATAAACATTAGTTCCCATTGGGAACGCATTAGCATCTCAACAGTCGATATATAATAAAGTATAATCCACAGCCATAGATAAACACAGTTTGAGCATTTGGGGTTTCAGCACGTGTCAACAATCCTTCTCCTGAGCTGCTGATAAGTGATGTGTTATTCCGCAACATGCTGGATTATTTTACACATGTTAACTTTCTCACCACAGCGATAGATTTCTTCTATGCGCATCAGCATTTTTTAACAGCAACAGTACAACTTGGCTGAACTCCTTCCACCAAAATAAAAGCCTTTTCCTTGTCTTTTTTATGCTACATGTCCCATATTAAACTGGAATAAACTGGTCAGCGCGATTACCGTTTTACAATCGCCAGTGGATCACCAGTGAAGAAACACAGTTTATGCCAGAGCCATGTCCCCACATTGACAGAACTGTGTTTTTTAAATGCTTCTCTGCAAATCTTTTGATCACACTTTGAATGTAAATATCTATGTTTAGGTTTCACCAATGATCATTTCCAGGATGACACAAGACTACTTAGAGGTACTTTTTTCCCCAGATTTTTAACGCTCGTGTCACCACACACTGACACAGACTTTTTGAACAAGTCAAGAACATAGAAAGTGATTTTGGAAGCACTTTATAATAAGTCGTAAGGGTTTATAGGTTGGTACTAATGGTATTGTTAGTAGTCGATAACTTCTTAATTTACGTTTCACGGATCAGAAATGAGCCATTAATAATTGGTATTTGTATTTTCTTACCAAGTGGTATTTACTGATCCATGATGCATTAATAGATTATTTATTAACCATTAATAAAGCCATTAGCTACAACTTTTACAGTTTTTATAAAACATGACTTATTAAACTTATTTGTATTGTTCTCAGGAAATCAGATGAGCGGGGTTAACTGCATTAAAATAATTCAAACAGAAATAAAACAGGAGAGAATGTTTTGTGTCTAGGTCCCACCGAACAGGCATCAGGTATCACGATGACCTCGACACCCTCGTGTGTTTCAGTTACAGTGAACACAGTGAAATGAAACACAAATTCAGTCTTATTGTTTGTAGCAAGGGATATATCATATATAAACACAATCCATCAAAATCATATCAAGACGTAATCAGAACAAGAGAGACTTGTGCTGTGATTTAAGGGGAGAGCTGGAGAGAGGGGTGGGGGGTGAAGGGTGTGTGTGTGTGTGTGGGGGGGGGGGGGGTGATCTTTTAGTCTGTGATATCGTGACCCAATAGAGTTGTAACTGAAATGTCACAGCCTCTAATCTGCCCTGAGGTGTAGCTGTTGCTTTATTGGAACAAACTGTGGTCACTGACGCCGCCAGCGACTAAATTTGATCAGATTTCTGTTGCATGGAAGTTGGAACTCGGCGGTTAAACTCGTCAACCCAGAGATAAAATATGAAGGAAAGCTGGCCACAAGACTTTTCCTCGACCGACATAAAAAGTCATTCTAGCTGCTTAGCATAGGGATCATTTCAAATGTTTTTTGTATTTACACTTCAAGTATCTTGTTAGATTAAAGATCTGCTAACGGAACCTTCACGTACTTCCTCGTCAGAATAAAGCTTCCATTATTTATTCCATTTACTCTCGCAAGACGTTGAAATTTGTTCACGGTTCAATGCGTCTTAATGGGTTTTCAATGTAAAAAAATTGAGAAAAAACTAGGGAGCAGGGCAACAGTGATTTTCTGCCCCATGTAATTTAGCATCGATTTTCTTTTTATGTAGACGAGAATCAATTATTACACTTGCAAGGCTTTGATTGTAAAGCTCGTGAGGTCTCTGAAAGGAGGAATTTAATCTATAAAGCTATAAAGTGTTACCAGACAGCACCCCGAGAGGGCAGATTTAGCTTCAGCGTAATCAATTCAAAACATAAAATGAAACGACGACTCATTAGCTAATTATATAGTATCCATTTATCCATTTTCATTAGTTTTATTCATGATAAGATAAAAGAAAAACTTGTTTTTGCCCGATTGGTTTAACGTAAACTGAACAGGCTGAATCCCGACTGAGGAGTTTTAGCTCCAGGGACGCATTACGGTGAATTACCGCGTGAGGACCAATTACCAAACGGCAAAGAGATTGACTTGTCATGTTGAAGTAAAGGGCGGCTTCAAATTCAAGTTCACTCTAATCAGGTCTCTCATCGTGAAGCCTCGGGCTGAGCGTGACATGAAAGGAGGACTTCATTCCCAGAGATATGGAGAGGAGGACGGAGAGGAGATGTGACATGTGTTTGCTTAAAGAACAGCAGAAACACAAAGATATTATTCAGTTACTCACACAAGCGCACACGCGCAAAGACACACACACACTTCTCCTCACACACAAACACAAGAGGGTCGTAAACTTTGATTGGGAAGTGAAGTCCAGTTAATCCTGTCTACCTGCTGTCGAGGAGCCACTCTGTCTCTGCCTCCGCCAAGAAAAGCTAAAACCAGGCATTAGCTGCAGACACACACACACACACACACACACTTATGTACACACACTTCCCTCCTCCTCCTGACACCCAGGACAGGCCCGGGGAAAGACTTAATCACATTCATTATTACCCAAGCAGCTGGGCTACTCATTAGGGACACAATACTGTATTAACTGTAAACTCACATTTGTTTTACCTTCAGGTGACAGATGCAAATTTAAGCTGACAGGTTTCCTCCTCAGCTTTGAGTGTTTTATGTTTACTGTCATCTTGTAGTAAAACCCTTTGTGTTTGTCTATAATTCCGTACAAGTACATCTTATTATCCGATGCTGCAGAGGCTGTAGATGTTAAGTATATAATATACATAACCACATCCCATTTTATCTACATTTTATTTTCGTTTTACAAACCAGTTTCCTCATGCCGTATCTCTGGGTGGATTACGGTGACTGTAGATATTAGGATTCGTCAGATGTTCAATTTAAACAGCTTTAGTCATTTTGTCAATTGGACTTGGTTGTTTGAAGGTTTGATGAAAGGGAGTAGATTGGTAAGCAGTCGCTATGAGGCCAAGAGAGTTCTTCAAATTGCCTGTGTGATATGTTTCATCATATTTTCATCACCCATTAGCTCTGTGTAGTCTCGTGTACAATTAGAGTCATGTAAATTAATAAATTAATCTAATTCATTAATTACAGTATACAAGCGAGTAGAACTAAGTCACACAAAGAGAACATCTGCTTTTCTTTTGTGTTGACGTTTATACAAAGTGATCTATGTGTCTGTCTCTGTGTGTGTGCCCAGCCTACATCGAGGACGTTGCGCGCTGTGTGGACCAGAGCAAGCGGCTCATCATTGTCATGACGCCCAGCTATGTCGTGCGGAGGGGTTGGAGCATTTTTGAACTGGAGACGCGGCTGCGCAACATGTTGGTGACCGGCGAGATCAAGGTTATTCTGATCGAGTGCGCCGAGCTGCGCGGCATCATGAACTACCAGGAAGTGGAGGCCCTCAAACACACCATCAAGATGCTGACGGTCATCAAGTGGCGCGGCCCGTCCAGCAACAAGCTCAACTCCAAGTTCTGGAAGCAGCTGCTCTACGAGATGCCCTTCAAGCGCATGGAGCCCCTGAGCATCTCCCACGAGCAGGTGCTGGATGTCAGCGAGCAGGGCCCCTTCGGCGAGCTCCAGACCGTCTCGGCCATCTCCATGGCGGCGGCCACCTCTACCGCCATGGCGACGGCGCACCCGGACTTGCGCTCGACCTTCCACAACTCTTGCCACACTCAGATGAGGCAGAAACACTATTACCGTAGCTACGACTACGACCTGCCGCCCGGCGGCACGCTCCCGCCGCTCTCCTCGCTAGGCAACCAGCACACCTACTGCAACATCCCCATGACACTCATCAACGGACAGCGACCGCAGTCCAAGTCCCCGCGCCAGCAGAGTCTGGAGGAGGCCCACGGCAACAACGCCATGCTGCCGCTGCTGCCCAGAGAGACCAGTATATCCAGCGTGATCTGGTGACAGAGACGGTGCCGGGCGGGGTAGGCTGTGGATCTATATGATGTCCGTCACAAGAGGGACTCACCACTGGCACTCGGACCCTGAACGCACCGGAGCCAGATGAACCTGTATGGCACTAAGCTACTTGCTGCTGTTGAATTTGCACCAGGAAACAACAGGGGGAGGGAGGGGGGGAGGGAGGGAGGAGAGGGCTTCACTCACACTGGACAAATTGGTGATGGAGGTGGTGGCAGATTTTTTTTTTTTTGTCTGTTTGTTTTGGTCTAATAAGAGCTTTTATTGAAACTGAACAACAAAAAAGAAGCAAGGAGAACTTTTTTGTATGCCTGTATAAACACTCACGTAACACAAGCCAACACCTACGATCATTTACCCAGAGAGTCAAGGAATACAGGGTCCTGTACATACGTTTTTCTAATTCTTTGTAGCATCAGTGTTTGGGACTTGTTTCTTCTTTATGTTTGATCATCAGTTGGGACTCTTTTTCTTTTTTTTATTTCTTTTGTTTCAGTTTGTACAAAAGTGAAGCAATGGCCTGTGAGATGTGCTGGTTAAACTGTTGTTACCTTTATCTTAATTTGTTGGGCTGGGTTTGTAGGGTTTATAAAGCTTTTAGGTTTTTGGTTTTTTTGGGGTGGGGGGGGGGGGTGTGGGTGGGGGGGGTAAAAGTCGCAGCCTTCGTGAGATGACAGCGATCTGGTTTGGATTTCTGGGAGTTTCGGTTCCACTGGCTGCCGCAAGGGTTGAGAATCTGGACTCAACCAGAATATGCAAAACCTGGAGCGCAGGGAGCGGGAAAAGATTGTAATGGAATGATTTTGAGAGAAGTCATATCTGTGAAGGGGAATATGAAGAATATGGTGCTAGGCTTCACATCTCTCTGTTTCTCTCACGATAACATTTACTTTAAAACAAAAAACAAACAAAAAAAAACAACCTTGCTATTTACCTTAACAGATGATTATATCACCGAAAGTTAATTATGTGTATTATTTTATGAAAAAAGAAAAGTCTATTTTTGTAACTGAGGGATATTTGCTTAGAGAAGTTATACCTATAAAGATTCAGATAGAAGGAAGTGAGGAAACATAATAAAAAAAGAAGTGTTTTGTTACATGGAATTGCATATCTCACGAAAATCGATAGGTCCTTCACTTAATGTCTTACCCTTATATCGCGAGAGAAAAAAAAAAGTTAGTTTGTGTTTTCATCATTAAAAAGAGGACTTGAGTTTTGACATTTCCGACACACAACGGACGGCAGCTCAGCAGGCTTTTTATGTCCATTGATTTTACAGTCATTGCAGCGATTCACTGTTAATATAACAAGGATGGAGCTACACTATCGATGATGTCAGTACAGACGGAGGAGAAGGAAAGCCATGGCATCCAGTATCACCTGAAACATTTACTGCACCTGGTTTCCTCTGTAGGACCAAACAAGGCTGTCCGGGGCTGAACTGTTATCTCTGTTATTCATTTCCCCTTCGATGACAGCTCTGTTATTTGTTTGCCGTCCTCTTTGTCGATGGAAATGATTTATCTGTTGAGGTTCGCTCGCGGATAAATAAAATAGGGCTTTCACGTCTCGCCTCTCAACACTTTGGAGTCGGCCCTGGTTGCTCGGCACCGCCGTGGATGACGGGACGTTGGAATATATAAAAACCAATAACGATGAAGTTTCATTCCAAAATAAGTCTGAAATACCTAACAACAGTTGCTGACTTGATATTATTAATGTTTAATTATCACTATAAAACGATGTAACCCGTTATGTCTTTGACCTACTGACCAATAATCGTCAAGGGGTGGATTCTCTTCAAGAACCAATAGGCTTTTAGAATGAAGCCCTTCCAAATAAGTTGTAATTAATACTTAAAGGTGACAACGATGTATTTAAAAAACGCAAATTAAATCCTGGAGTTTACGTAACTATAATATAGAAATGCTTCTTAAAGCGAGTTAGACCAAAGCAAGCTACAGCGAACCATTCTCACTCACAAAACATTTCTTTTTTTCCCGCCGAGCGAAGCTTCCATCTGATCGGTACGATTTCATCCAATCACAGCAAACAAGAGCTACTCTCATAAATGCACTCAGACTTCTCCTGCAGCTGTGCCATATCACTAACCTCATACTAAAATGCCTAACGCATCTCATCACGTAGATGTTTCATTCAGTGCCATAAGATATGCAAAGGGATGAACTTGTAAACAATAATGAACAATTGTGTTGTTTTTTTCCCTTTAGCTTCTTTCAATATTCACTTGTTGCTCTTTGATTTTACTTTTACATAATATTTCAGAGCGGGCCTGGGTCTTCCTCTTTGTTCCAAGATCTTTCAATCAACCTACAGATTATATCCAGGCCTGTTTCTATCCACCTCAATCAGACCTCTCCCCCCTACCAAAAGTACCATGCGGATTAACGTCCAAGAGCATCATTTGTGAACAGAGGAGCGAGTTGCGCTCTTTCAAAACGGCATTGTGTAAATATAATCGAGACAATAACGTGATTAAGATGAAGACAATCGAGCCATATTCATGAAACCAGTGGTCATTATTCACAAGGCCTCTCAAAGTAGACGTACTAATCCCGAATGGAGACTAACGCGTAGAAATATCGATGATATAGCGCCAGGAGCTCTCGCTTCGAGAAGCTGTGTGAATACAAACGTTTGTGTTTTCTAAGTGTGGCGATACACATTTTTGTTTCATGATGAAGTGAACATTTCTGGCAAGTGGCTTTGATGACGATAACGATGATGATGATGATGATGATGATGATGAATAACAATGACAATATATAGCACAGAATTATTCCAGGCACTTTCACGACTCTTGAGACGACGTCTCTCCTGTTTCTGATTTATTTTCTAATATGTATCTGCAATGTTCATTAAAAGAGATACTGTTATTATTAATAAAACCACATTTACGGTAATGTGACCTCTCAGTCCTGTGTGTGCTGTGTGAGAACGCTTGTATTTGTTTGCTGAAGATACCACCTGGCTCTTTGTTTATGGAGCGGTCTCATAGATTGCTGACGTGGCCGCCGGATCCCGTTTCCTGGCGGGAAGCCGACACAGCCCCATCCGCCATAACTCTACCCTCTCCTGTAAAACCTTGAAACAACAATCAATACGTTTCCTTATTCCACTCGGAGACCGAATCAGCTCGGCCTCATTTTAGAATAAGACTAAATCAGTGGAAGGGAGGCAGTGAGAAACACTTTAAAAAACCTCCTTGCCTCGATTGTTGTTTGACCTCAGTGCACCGTTGGCCGCAATCGCACAAACAGCTGGCGCAGATTTGTTATTCGGTTCACAGGATGCAGCTCTGGAGTTCAGACTTTCACAGCATTGGTTTTTTACCTAGAACCACCTTTAACATATGCAGCCGTGTGAACATTTGAAACTGTCGAGCTGTTTCTGGAGTACAATTGGAAAAAAAACATTGACTCAGATGTGTATGTCTGCTCCACGATTAAGGCCTTTTTAGTCCACTGGAAACTACAGGCAGGTTTGCTCAGTAAAACTGTCACATTTAATGACGAAGAAAACGGGATCCCTTTTCTTCCAGCGTGCTTCCAGGCAGATAAACAATGCCCCCCCCCCGCCTCGCAGCGTTGTGCCCACAGTGTAGCCATTTACTTATTTTGCTGTGATCAAAGCAACAGCAATTGAGAGAAAAGAACAGCCAAAGGTACATATGGGAGGAATCATGAAATGCTGCCAGACACCGTTAATTAGCCTCAATATGCTCGTCTTGAATATTGAGAAGTTGGTCACATTTTACTGCCGGTACAGGCCAAAATTAGAAAACAGCAACATCGCAGGTGAGTGTAGCTGATATGTCTCTGGTTTAGAATATCCCAATATGTTCTCGGAAGTATTGCGGCTCTTAACACAGGCAGGAAAGTGCTTTAAAGCGGTCTCTATGGAAATGAGTGTTTACTTTTCACACCATTCAGTCAGTAAAGCCTGTAAATGTCAGGGATGTGTCTATAGTCAGTAAAGTTTGTATGAGCGCATCATTTGAAAAGTCCCCTCTTCATCCTGTTTACAAGAGTCAAGGTCTTATGTAGATTTTTTTAGAGGAATATGTGGAAATGAGAGGGTTTTTTTTTTTACACAACTGTTCTCTATCAATGTTTCTCTTCTACATAATAATCTTTAGTTGCGGCTCCGCTGCGGTTGCAAACTGGAAAACCTTCAAAGAAACAGCATCAAACAAAACAGGACTGAAATCAGCTGATTTCTCGATGACAGACAAAAGCTTTTTTGTGACGATCTTCATTAGCAGAAGCAGTTTGTTCATTTTTCACGGAGCGGGATCTAGACTCCATTTGCTGAAGGTATGAAAAAAGCTTTTAAATAGCCCCATCCAGACTTTTACCCTGAAACACACAAAATCCTTACCTAAAGTACAGGGTCATACTGTTGTTGATGCTATGTTCTTAATTATCTTGTTCCTAACGCCAAAGACAATAACGTTACTAATGAACTTACTGCCTCGTGGCTCATGTAGGCCACGAGCCTCTACTCATAACTTTGGCGGGAAACATGAGGGCCGATGTTTGAATTGAATCTTTTCCCCCCACAGAGCAGTCGGGTGAAGCTGTCCAGATTCAAGCAGCGCTTTCAGGAAAATAAAAGGTTGTCTCATAGGTGAAAGAGTCCGACTGCACTGAACCAGCCATCTTGTTTTTCTGCCGTCATGGCTACAACACGAAGCTGCATTCAAATCATCTGTGAACACGTGAAAGCCGCCAGATGTTTTCATCTGAGCCGGCGTGTTGCCATATGGTGTGTGTCTGTAGAAAGCTGGAGTTCCTAAGCTCTGGCACTTTTCCCCCAAATGAAATCATTTTCACTTCATTACAGTGTCACGGCATAATAAGCTCCCTGAACTGAGGAACGTGATGTGGGGAGAGAGTGAAGTGTACATATACGTGCACAGATGTTTTGTATCTTCCTCTGCCTACACACACACACTTACAGACTTATTGGTGAAGAGCATTACTCACTCTGGCAGGTATACCGTGCCCCTCCATGTCCCACGGGGCCTTGTTACTCGGAGCTGTGTGCTCTGTGCCCTGTGTGACACGTCTTCCACTCGGAGAACCAGGCCAATTGTCTGTGCATGGAGAGGTGACGGTGGTGGATGCGTGTGTGTGCACGTGCATGTGTGTGTGTGTGTGTGTGTGTGTGTGTGTGTGTGTGAGTGAGCTGAAAACATTTGGAGAGTGGATGCAGGCAGCTGTTAACCCAGTTTTGGAGCAAGTCTGAACTCACCACGGCATAATTGACCGAGTGTGTGTGTGTGTGTGTGTGTCTGTGAGTGTGTGTGGGCGGGGGAATTTCAAGTCTTCAAGTCATGGATCACTGATCACTTAGGAAGCCCTTCAATTTACTGTTGCTTGATTCGAGAGCGGCTCCGCCTTTAATTACTTATTATTTTACAACAGTGTCGATGTGTGGTGAGGTTGGGTGTTTACTTGTCAGAGGACACACTTCAGTGCATTTGCAGCTTTTTTCACTGAGCAAATCCAAGACGGCAGTTGAAATCATATTAATCAATAGGCTAATAATCAGCGTGAAAAGTTAAAACATTGAATTTGTGCAGTGGCCAGTTTCTGTCCTCCAGTTAAGAGATACAGGGAGAAAACCGGCCGCTTCAGGAAATTCAAAGTGAAACGCTGTCATCTGCTGGACACACTTCTCCCTGCAGCTGACTCAGTCCCTTTCAAGGCACGCTGGGAGGGAACGACCCAACTTGAGCCATTATGATGAAAGTCGGGTGACGGGTGGGTCATTCAGTGAGGATAAAAATCACACACATCGTTGTTAAATTGCCCCAGTTGAAATCTTTTTGCAATCTGAAGCCTATAATTATGATGAATGGAGGCGCATTTTCCTTTAAGGCAGCGCACAGCCATTAGATAAACTGCTGCTGTAACATACAAAGCACTTTTACGGTTCCCAAATGAGCAATGATTATTTTTTATTATTTACATTCTCCGAATAACAGGGTGAATGTATAGTGGATGTGCTATTTTATATTAATTTGAGCCATATCAAATGATCAAATGAGCTAAATAAATGTCTTTGTATATTTGGGAAGTCCCGGCTCAGCTCATAACGTGTCAGTATTTTACAGGTTTGAATCGGTCCTAGAAATGGCGCTAATTGAAATCTTGGGTTTTAAACATCCCATCATGCTCCATTAGCCACGTGTAGTTTTCAGGAGGGATCACTCACACACGTGTAATAAGACGGATGACGGTGAATTCGCTTGATTTCATTCACAAAAAAACAAAACAAAATAAAACAAAGGAAACAGTCACGTCCTAAAGCACCTGCAAGCTTGATTGCCAACCGCCAATCAAACCAGAAGCCGAAGAAGAAGAAGAAGAAGAAGAAGAAGAAGAAGAAGAAGAAGAAGAAGAAGAAGAAGAAGAAGAAGGAGGATGCGGAAGAAGAATAACGCCAGGTGTGTTTACAATGAATTATGGGTAAAGTGGAGCAATTTGCGAATGTTTACGAATCGACGTCGTGGCTCGTTTTGGATTTATGGGTGAAATATTTGAGCAGGTAAGCACCTGTGGCTGTAACCTTACTGTATCTGCATGGGGGGGTTTCACGGAAGGAAAAGTGAACATAGGCCAATATAACAAAGTGACAGTGATGACGTCGAAGTTTCTGTCCCCTATTAAAACAGACGGCACGTCAGGTGTGGTAAACATACATCTTATATAAACCTGCTTTAAACTCCCTGTTAAGTTCAGTAGGTTCATTTTCACGTTTTTATATTTTGTTTAATAGTAGCAGCAACCTTAATGACCGTACTCCAGTCAGCCAAACAGACACAGTCTCCTTACAAAATAATATAGTCTCAAGAGATGAAATGGGATATAAACATTCAGAGCAATAAAACATGCCATATAGATGTCAGTAATGTTTGTGTACTGCTGCAGTGAGTGTCAGAATTAATGAATACAGCTAACATATGACAGGTGTAAACATACCTGATGGAGGCATTATTTAAGGAGAGGGTTTGTTCAGGTCATTTGCCACCGTCTTATATCAGATCAAATGCGGAGTCAGATTGTCACAACTAACATGGCAGAGAGTCGTGTAGAGCTGCAGCTAATTATCATTGAATCAGCTGCTTATATCCTCACTTGATTGATTATTTATCCGGTCTATAACATGTTAGAAAAGTGAAAATGATTTAAAAAAAAAAAAAAAATCTTTTAGCCGTTACTTTTTCCTAAAGCTCAAACTGATGTCTTCAAATGTCTCATTTTGTTCAACCTACATCTAAAGCCTGAATATATTCTGTTCAGTATCACACAAGATAAAGAAAAGCAGCAGGTCTGTAACTGGAGACATTTTTGCTCAATAAATTACTTAAATGATTAACTGATTTTCTGTTGATCGACTAATCAATTACCGAGCCAATTGTTTCTGCCCTAGACTGGTGTATTGTCAGTTATATTGCCATATACAGTATTTATTATAGGTTAGGGTTTATTCGTGAGGAGTGAGAAGTGTGCACGCAGTTTCACAGGATCAGTGACTGGTGTGTATTTCTGAGGTTTTGTGTCGAAGCCCACCGGCTGTGTTGTTTGCAATATGAGATCCTGCACCAAAAGGAAACTGCAGTGATCTCAGACGAGCTTAGCCGGTGTTAGACTCAGACGCTTGAGAGGAAAAAAGCTGTTAATGCAAATGCTTGGAAGATTGTGGTGCTAATACTCAAGGCTAAGCTCGAACATCTATTGCTGCCTTGAAAGGCTGCATCCGGAGGAGAGAAAAGCCCGGAGAGAACACGCTCAGAAGCTGTGCTCAGCATTTGCTCATTGTCATAAGCAGCAGAAATGTGAAGTTGGTAACTTTTCGACTTTGATACCTGACTTTTAACAATGCGGAGCCGGTAGCCTTGAGGGGGGAGATTGTAAGGCTTCCAGAGAAGGCCCAGAAATGTCAAGTGGTCACTGTGGTTCAAAAAAATTGAGTTATTTAATAGGCTGTACAATCTTTACAACATTTATTTAGATGCTCAGGGGATTCTGGGATCTTGTGTTTTCTAAGGACACTAACAATTTCAGTCTAAATAACATCTTTAAACCTCTGCATTTAGCTCCATGTGGCACAAACAGCAGCTTATTTCTCCAGGTTTCTGAAGTTGATCTGAATATGTAATGTGCAGCGTGTTGTACCTTTCTGAAGATACAACCCAGAATGTATTTGACCATCCAGATATGACATTTTTTAAATGTGTGATTTCAATTTTCAAGGTAAAATAATTGGAATAGAAGTGACTAGTTGAAGATGAAACAACAACACATTTATCAAAAGTAACTTACAAGGGAAAATGTCAAACATTTGCTGTTAACAGCTTCTTAAATGTACAGACCTGCTGCTTTTCTCATTTTAAAAATCTGACAGCCACGTTAAGACACCACTTTGTGACCGGAGACTTTAATCACCAGATATTATGAATTATGAAAACAGTTGTTACAATGAAAAATCAACTATTAACTATAAGGAAACTTGTCAATCCATCTTCACATAATGTTGGAGGAAAACCTCAGCCAGATTTGACTATGTGGAGAAAAATTCATGAGTCACTAAAGTCACTAGAGAGACAGAGACAGTAGCAGGGTGGATCAGCGCTGGGTGTCCTGTTTAATTCAAATCCAGTATTAAGACTTTGAACACCTCTTCAAATCAAGTCAAAGATGAGAAATAATTGTGCATGGAGGGAGTTTATTCAGCATGAAATGTTAATTCACCTTGTGAATGCAGTGTCTCAGTGCCTCAGGAGGGTTAATCTGCGGTATCGTTCTATGTGCTTTAATTCAGGCTGGTACTTCCCAGGTAACGGCGTCCTCTGACACCGGGGAGCAGGAGGACCTAGAGAACCGGCTCAGCGCTGGCTCCTGACGATGTTAATGAAACGAGGCTAAGCGGAGGTGTATTTGCTGAAGCTGTCGGAGGAGACGGATGGAGCCCAACCACCGGTGTGTTACAGAGTGAGCCTCTCTAGCAGCTCTTTAAATAGACACTCACACCTTTTCTCTAAGTATAGGGTTGATGATGAAGAGTGTGAATGTCTGTATGTGTGCTTGAGTTCACATAATCATATTAAGAAGGTAATTTAAGAACAGCCTATCTCTCATGAAGCAAGTGCCAATGATTAAGATTGCAAAGCACTCAAGTGACCACAATATATATATATATATATATCTTTACAATATATCTTCTGGAGTTAATTCTTTTTTTCTAAAAGTACATTTGTTTGTAAACCCTCCCTGTCTGCTCACAGCATGTTATTGATTCTTGTACTTTAAGCAGTTTTTAACACTTGTTCATTTGCGGCTTTTCAGAAACTGATGTCTCCTGCAGTCAAACCGAGCATGGACGGCAGCAGCGAGCTCAATGAGAACGTAAGTCCATGCGTGATCACGTGGGGCAATGATTGCTATTAATGCTTGTCGTTTAATACTGCGTTTGGTGGGTTGTCTTTGGTCTCATCCCGACATTAGCTTTTATTGCTGCTAGTTAGTGGAGGCAGGTGGAGCTGATGTTTTGCAGCAGTGGGTTAAGTGGTTACCTGGAGGTTAGTGAGTTTCTGAGAGAGGACTGTTAGGTTTAAGAATTAGTTGAGCTTGGCTGTGAGGTCAGTAGGTGTTTAGACAGATGTTTGTGACACTTTGAAGAGTCTTATTTTGGAGCTGGATCTCTGCAGAATCAGCAGTGGTATTTGTTTGGAGTATAAGGACTTGCATACCACTGTCCCTCGGTCTTTCATGAGGGTCATTGTTTGTGGAGTGGCCCTCAGTGTCCTCTCAAAGACATTCAAGGTTGTAATTCATCGTGTGCGGGGGGAAGCTATAAGCAATGACAACCGACAGTGAACTGAAAAATATCGACACATATACGATCACATGTCTGTCGTCCATTTCCAAACTACCTCCCTTTATTTTGGAACTTTATTCTACAGCTCATAAAACATCGCCAGCACGTGCTCGTCTATGCTGCTCGTCCCAGTCACGGGTCTGAAGAAAAGTCCCGCCACCGAGTCCGGGTCCACGGACCGCAGCTTGTTCAGCACCGCGCGCAGTCTGCTCAACCGGCCGGCGTTACCCACGTGGACCGTCCTCACGTGCTCGTAAAGCGCGCGCTCAGCCTCTCTCTGGAGCGCGTGGATGTACTCCCGACACTCGAGCTCCGTCACTTCTACGGGACAGAGACAGGGAAACGTTTGAATAACTTTAAACAGAGCCGAAAATGAGACATTAGATTATTCAGTAGTTAAAATAATGTCTGTTAATTCACATCTGTAGTAACTGCCCTGTAATATAACGTCAGCCTGTTATACCGTACAAAGGAGAGAAAAAATAGCCTACCATTAAGTGTGATAAAGTCACCATGAATATAGCCTGCTATGTAATTAACCTAGTGTGAGCATTATACCCTATACGACAGATTTGTATTTGTTAAACCCAAAGGGAAATAGCAGTTTTTCATTAGCCACTTTACATGAATCACAAACAGTGTCCTGGGTAAATAACAAAAAATGTCATTAAAGGCTGCATTCTCTATAACGTGTACAAATGAAATAAAATAGATAATAGAAAAAGAAAGAGACCAATACACCGTGCGCTGAATATACTGTACAATGGTGGTAATACAATATACAATAATACACCGCGCAGTAGTATAGAGCCGGGAAGACCAGAATACTCTGATAACACATGCGATAAATAAGAAATCCAAGTGGGCAGTGTGGCTTTTAAAAGAAACACTTAAAGTAAAGCGTCATATTACAGTGAAACTGTGAAGCCGCGCCATACAGGAAAAACTAATGCAGTAAGTTAAGAGTCAGACTGTGTTTAACTTTGAGAATGAGAAGTTTTTAACTGCGTCGTGTGTCCAACACTAACAGCAAAGTATATGAGTCTCTTACCCGGGGTGAAGAGTATGGCTCCCTTCAGAAACGCGTACTCTTTAACGCTGATTCCCAGTCCTCTGCACTTGACCAGAAACATTTTGATCCCCTCCACGTCACCCACGGGCACCCCGGGGTCCTGAATGTCGGTCTGAACGCTCTGCTGTCGCTCTTTGCTGTGCGTTAAAATCCTGTGTAACAGACTGGGCTGCTGCGTCTCCACCGTGTCAAAGTCCACGGAGTCCTGCACCATGCCCAAAACCAGCAGCGGCGCCCAGCTTTTACGCACGAGCCGCAGCTGGTCCTCCGCGGGCAAACCCTGAAAACACGGAACATTTTTCACAAACCTGAAAGTTTTCACGAGCACCTCGGAGGCCGCTCTGAAAACTAACTGCGGGGCCCGGATGGCCACCAGCCTCCTGTTGGACGCGCAGGCACAAAGCTGAGCGGCAGAGGTGCGGGGCTGTCTTCGCTGACACGGAGAGCCTCTGTTCAGGATGCTGTAAAGGATGCTGCTCTGCGCCGCGCGCTCACCCTCTCTACACCGACAACACGACATGACGCCACGCACTGCCGCCCCAGTGATTCTGAGCCTGTTTTCCAGATTATCATCTTATTTTATAGACTAGACTTGGGGCACCGACCCTCCCCAAATACACTATAAAACACGTCCGGTCAGTATTTTCACAATAAAAGCATAACAGCTCCGGGGCATGCAGGTTAATATTCCAGCAGTAGGCCTCACTCACACATCATTTGTCTTATTACATAATTGGGCTTTAAAATGTCCTTGTTATATTTTTAGAATATTTTTCATATTTTATTGTAATTTTTTTCTATTGATGTTTCCTGATGTGCAGTGCTTTGCTTTATCTGCCCTTGTACTTACTGCGTTTATTGTCATTCACCAAAACCCCAAAGCAAATTCCTCATATGTGGAAACCTTACTTGGCAATAATCCTTACTCTGATTGTAAATATGACATAGCCAATATATCGATGCATTTAAACTTTTACGTGCAGAAATGATAGTGTTGTGTAAATACGTAAGGGTGGTTACAGTTTGCATTATGGTTTACCTGACAGTAAATTATATGTCAAACGGATATTATTATTTGGATTGTCGCAAAAGTAGTTATTTCTTTATCACGTACAGCATTCTAAATATTACTGTTAATGTGTAACGTTGAAGTTAGTTATTCCAGTCCCCTCGTCCCACGGTAATTCAAAGTATTTAATTTCAGTTAACAATAAATTCAGTGATTTTCAATTAAGTATTTTGATATGTGGAAAATATAAATGAAGTCTCATTTTTAAAAGCAAGAGCAGCCAACGTCCAATCTGTCGTCGTGTCTGTAGCTGGCTTGATCCACCCTGGGGCCCTGATCAGGTCTTGATGCGGCGGCCTTTACCTTGCTGTGTGTGTGTGTGTGTCTCTATGAAACATCAGTCGTCTATGTGTTATATACAGGAACAGCATGTGCCTGTTTGTAATGACCCATAATACTCAGCACACAGGGAGGAGCTTAAGTTGAAAATAAGTTGGAAAAGGGGGAAAATCCCCTCTGCTCAGTCTCACAGGCCCAATTTGAGGTGTTTTGAATCAGAGTGGTGCCCTGTCAGACGGGGAGTCCGCTCAGTGCTGTTTGTCTATGCAAAGCAAGGTCTTGCAGATTGGTTTCAGAGGGCAGGATAGACCCCTGTTAATGTGAGACGCATTTCATAAAATCAGCACAAACACGGCAACATTAACAACCTCCTCCACAGAAACTTTGTACAGGCAGACTTGAGACTTTATCCGGTTTGTAGTTATTCAGATATGTCTGTCCGTCTCTGAACTGCTCGCTATAAAACCCCGATGTGAATAATTATGATTTCTGTCTTGATGGTGTTCAGTCAATAGGAATATTAACTAATCAAGTAGGAAACAAAATCTCATCTGTGGAGTTTTTTTTATTTTTTTTTATAAACCAATCAAACCTGAGTAAGAAATAACTCGTCGTTAACATCTTGAAAACAAAAATGACCACATGAAACCTTGAAGCATGATTTTTTTTTTAATGTTTTAAAGTGTGGTTTATTGCCCGCAGCAGGTGTTTGCACATAATAGCTGTCTTTGATGATGGTAAAGCTGCTTCAATTCAGGTCTGCAGCTTGAATAACTCATTAAATTGCTTTCAGATTTAGTTGGGTTTGCGTGACCCAGTGAACTGAATTACTCATCATTTTTTAATCACGCCGTGTTTATCGAGTTGCTCAAGAATCAACGATCCGGTCCTCTCCGATTGTCCTGGCCTTTTGGGCTCGTGCAAACTTTTAAAAAATCAAAAAGTTTCCGTCGTCGAAGACAGGCGGTTCAGCCAGCAGTGAAGATTTCAGGTTCCAAGTTTCTTTGTTCGGTTTAGACTGTCTGGCCGTGAAGGAAGGTTTCCTGACTCTGAATCTAATCGCAGTTGGTAGGTACATTTTCGACAAACGCGTGTAGCCATTAGAGTTTAATTGCAATTCCTCAGTTTTAGTTTCTTCAGGTTTAAAGGAGCAGAGCGGCAAAGGCATAAAAGAAAGGCCGCCTTCCGAGACGAGTTATCCGACAAGGCCAGATGTTTCTCCTTGTAAGAGAATCTGTTTCTATAGTAACAAATACAGCAGAAAATATACGTCTCTTTTTAAAGAAACACGTGAAGATTATACAAAGATCATTTCGGGACATAAGTAAGAGCAATGAATAACATTGAGACTTCTGAAGGATGTAGACGCTTTTCATCAAAGTTTTTGCTATTATCCTCTGCTGTATTTGTCAGTGTCGTCTCTGAAGGGCTTCGTTCGTCGTCAGGGCTTTTCGCACCTTTTCACGTGGAACCTAAAGAAGTTCCAGTGGAGAGAAAAGCCTGGAGTGAAAACACAGAAACTTCTCCTTTTTGTTTCAGTTTTGTCTTTATAGGCAGTTTATGAGGACACCTTCAGTTGAAATGGAGGGAGAGAGAGAGAGAGCGAGAGCGAGCACAATGTGGCATTTTGAGACATCAGTGTCTGACAGACGAGACTCCTCTGCAGTGTTGATTTGTGTTAGCTTGTTTTTGAATTTAAAGCTCAGTGTCAAGGACATAAAAGGTCTGTAGAAAAGCTTGTTTGGGAACAAGTTATATTCATCTCCGTTCTATTGCAGAACCTTTCTGAACCGGCAGTTGCAACCCATGTAAAAGTACATTATACCGCGTTTCAACTCTTCCGTATTCTTTGTAGATCAGATTTACCATTTTGGCCTCTGCCAGAAGCCCAGTACTTTACAAAAATCAATCTCAAAATCACAGACATTTTGTGTGACGTGTTGCCAAGGTAGTGAAAATAAAACCTCTGATAAACAACCGACAGATTCCAGCTTCTATTTACACCTAAGAAGCTGCCGCAGTCTCTTTACAGGTATTATTACCAAGACAAGCGGCCGCTGACCTCTCATCATGTCGCAGGATTTCCTGCTTCCTCAGCTCAAAACAACCAATTCATAAGCATGTGAGCAAGCGGTGAGTAATCTGCGTTCAGAGCCAGAATACACAGTCAAAAAACAACAGTCCGCCGTGAAGCGATGCCCCCGAGATGAGCTGGCAAACTCCCCGCTCCGTTTGGCGCCAAGTTACTCCATCAGGCCAGTCCGTCTCCTGAAGTAAAACATCAGTCACCTATCAGCTCTCTGCGTCTCGCGAGACTGATGGGATAGATCTCGGACACGAAAACAGCAGGCCGACGCCGTCAGGGGAAGACCTATTATCGCCAAAAAACGTCAGCTCTTTGGGAATCTGGAAAAATAGGCCATTTTAAACAGATGACTGTGTTTTTTCTTTAAAAAGTGATGGTGAGTTTTGACAGTTGTGTCAATCCAAGGGTCACAATTTTCTCAAGGTTTCAAGTCAAACGTATTAACCCTGAGTTTAAAGAAAAAGAAACGCAGATATTCTAACTACACATTAATGTTGAATAAAGCAAAAATTGTGAGACTCAAACCTAGAAATTGAATCATGTCACTTTCATAAAGTGGCACTCTTGCTTGATTTACTGGCACGCCTCTGTATTTTAGTACCAATATAACTTTATGCGCAGTTCTGTAAATCGTACGCATGTACCTGCTAACACGAGATGAGAGCCGGTCGGTTTGTGGACGGTTTACCTTTGCAGACGGGAAGCTTCCGAAGCACCGAAAGCAACCAGTTAATCTAGTCAGGCACTTTGCAGCCCGTGTATACACTCAGGTGGTAGTTTATTAGGTACGTCTAAAGCAGTGTAATCCAGCAGTCCTGCAATAAATCTTCCCTTTATAATATTCAGTTTTTATTCAGAGAGTTGCGAGTTCAACTGTGTGATCAATTTGGAGGATGCATTGCGTGCTGCCATTGAGCTGTATTGTATCATACAATCAGTTAGTGTTTTTGTGCCTCTGCGCTGGCGTCAGCCTCGGCAGCATGAGGTACGTTTGCGAATTGCCGTCCCATTCTTGTGAACGCAATGTTTCGGTGATGCCTTAAGGGAATTTGTCCCTATTTTGCACATTAAGTTGGACAAAAAGATGAACTGTGCATTTCAGTGACCTCACAAAATACGTGTCGTATCCAAAAGGTCAAAGGACGCATCGCTTAGTTTTGCAAAAACACTTCTGGCTATCATTCAACCCTGTAACTCAGGAACAGAGGAAGAGGTTTTGACCATATTTCCCGCAATTTGACGTGTTGGCGGAGGCAACGATTGTAGTTGTAATTTGGGTGAACTGAACCTTTTAATGTTTTTCTTAATTTTCTTTACAGCAGCTAGTAGGGTCTCGGAGTAGTCCAGTTGTTTTTTCGCTCTCCCGATCATCCCGTTTGAACTAGAGACCGAAACACCTCACTGTACACAGCTCACGTCGTGCAGGTGCTTCGATATTGGGTATTCTGAACTTGGTGTGGAGTTGTTCACGTTTTTGCCTTTAGGGCAACCAGAGTGTGTTTTTAAAAACAATTTGTAGTCCTCATCTGACATTTGTGAGGTTTTTTGAAAGGTCGCTCAACATTTCTTCCAAGACCTTTGACTTCTTAGTGCCGTTTAAAGATTAACGCGGCGTACGCCGGTAGCGGTTAACTGTGGAAATCAACTGAAGCATACAATTTCTTGTTATGACGAAGACTACTGTAGTTTTTGCTGGCGCAAGTGAGAGCGGAATCAATTTTAAAGGCCAAACAACTGAATCGCCTAGCCACATAATCATGCAACCTTTTTAACGAAGTCGCGCATGTGCAAATACTTATCAGTAATCAATCCGAAGGGCAACTCGGCAGCACGGGCCTCGGATTCGACAAGTTAACCCTGAACAGATCCCGCTGAGGCTTTTCAATCCTCTTTTAATGACCGGACACTTGTCTCTCCTTGAACACCGTGAAAGAAATGGGTTTATTAGGTTTTCCCGCGTTACTTAACCGGAGCCCGGCAGCTGTCGGAACGAGCTTTATTCGCGCGCGAGGATATCAATGAGTTTTCAAAGAACGGGGCCGGTGTAGAAAGTGGAATTATGAAAACAGTAAACAATGCTATTCTGTGTTATTTATGAGGAGAATGCGATTTTGTATAGACCTTCATTATGCTTTCCTCGAGGGCATGACATTGAACAGGGCGTAGATTTACATAAACGCGTCTGCGGAGCGTCTCATTAAAAAGGGATCATTGAGAAATCTGACTCGTTAGAATGTCCAGAAACTGTTTGTTTTGCAAACAGTACTTTCAAAAACATGTCTGCGGTGTATTAAAACCCCCTGTTGTAAAAAGTCATTACAGCCACACTCACACGTCTCACATCAAAAGGAAGACGAGGCAGTTTACTTTAAACACGTAAAAGGAAATATATTTTTTTTTGAAAAATGAAATAACAAAAAAGAACGACATTTCATACAGAAGAGCTGCTTTTGTCATTTGCAGAGGTAATTTACACAGGACTTGAAATGAAAACACTTTACTTGAAGCGGCACAACAGCGACCGCAGCACGCGGTTTAAAGTATTTACTATTTGGATTTTTTTTTTTTTCTTATTCTTTTTCTTATTCTTTTTCTTCTTCTTTCGACCCTTCAACCGTCGCGCCTTACGTACCGAGTCGCCGTCGTGCCGCTTCCGGTAAAGCGCAAAGAGGTTATGTCACATACCGAGCTTCTTTTCAGGGTTAATATACACTGGCTCTTGGTAGTTCACTCATGACGTACGCACCATTGAAACATTTACACACAAAATTTAGTTATTTTCTCTCCCTCAAAACAAGAATACTCCTTATATTTTTAAAGACAACAGTTAACAATTCCAAAACGGTGGCTCTAGGATTGGATTCATCCCACCTACAAGAGGCCCTCCCCTTCCCCACACACACGCACACACGCGCACATACACACACACTCCTATGAACACTTTAGTTTTAACAAGAGAGGCTCGTCGAGCGTGAGGCCAGAAGAAATCTGTTGTCGTGGCAGTCTGCGTGGCAGAAACCAGGGGCGTGCATAGGTGTCACCGGCTTCCTCCCGAGGCTCTGATAAGGCAGTTTGTTTTTCTTCTTTCTTGTTAGTCTTTTTTTTCTTGTATTCCAGTTCGGGAGCCATTTTATTCAGCGGCCCGCTTAGCGTGTGAGGAGGGAGAGGGGCGAAGACGGCCACAGAGAGTAGGCGGGACGAAATGAAAACTGCAGGGTGACGAAACGCGGTACACGTCTTCTTCATTGTCCGTTTTGTGCAAACCGAGATGTAAACAAAGATCGTCGGGTTAGGGAAGCGGGGAACAACAGGCTACGGCGACACCGGGAAAGACGGCGTACAGGGATGCGGCCCGCTCCTTCGACAAACTGACAGGCACAGAGGGCCGGTGAAATAAATAAAAGGGCCGGGGGAGTTAGCGCAGGGGGGGAGGGAGGGAAGAAACTGCCAAGTTTCCTGTGCTTTTTGCTTCACTCAAACTTGCATTTGGAGCTGAGGGAGTTACTTGTCGCCACTATAGCAGCTTCTAATGTGCTTCAGAGTTCGGCTCGTTTGTCACAGCGGCCGAGGAAATCAGGGGGAGAGGTGATGGGGGGGGTCGGAGAGGAGGACACAGAGTACCACGAGAAGTGCCTTAAAAGGTCAACGCACACGCACACACACACAGGCACCCACATAAGACTGCTTTACGGTCATGCTCGCTTTCGCCTCCGATATTAACACCCATCCGTCGATTACAAAAGAAAAGTACAAAATATCTACCGTGCTGCCCCTCCGCTCCCCACCCTTTGACTACATGAGGACAGAACCTTATTCATTTAGTTTTTTTTTTTCATTTATATATATATATGTATATATGTACACGACAATACGCCTTTTAGGCTGTTGAGAAAAAGGGGCCGGGGCGGGACGAAGTCTCCGCGGCGAGGCGTCAGAGTTATCAGTTTCTTCATTTTCCCTATTTTTCAACAACAGTTTATCTACAGAAATGTACGATTGCGATGAGAGAGACGTGACCGGAGGGGATTCCGCCGAAGTTTAGCATCCGGGCGGGATCGGAGACAGGTCGTCGGAGGCCGCGCGTCAGTAGACCCAGGAGACGGGGACCCACTGAGAAGCGGTGGACACCAGGTCCACGGCTTCCTCCAGCAGGCGGATGGTGTCGTCGATTTCGTTGTTGATGACGGTCTGGTCAAAGTAGTGAGCGTAGGTCCTCTGCAGCATCTCGGATTCCTTCTGAAGCCGCTGAAGAGAGTCGTCCTGAGGAGGGCGATTGAGAAAAGAGAGAGAGTTCAGCGAGTGGCATTTTAGTCAGCTTTAGCTAACTGAAACCGATTTCATAAATTGGCCTTACTACTGTGTCATTTTGAGGTTTGAAACAATTGGGAGTGACAAGTTAGTTAACATTAGCTCAAATAGATACAGTGCAGGTTTGTCAGATTTCAGAATGTACTACATTTTTACTGTAAATGTTGTCACGTAATTACGTGTATCTGTAATGTAACAAATATCAATTGTACCGGCACTACTTTGACCAGACTGTCGAGAATAAGTGAACTGAAGCGTTTTCAGGAAAGTAGCTTTTCTTGTTTAATACTATGTAGACAGTCAATGCAGGGTTGAAGTTTATTCAATGTAAATTTCAATGCTGATGGGAAAAGGTCCAGAATAGACATTTTCCCTAAACTGTCTGGTATGGATGAAGGAGGGGAAAGGGGAAGGAGGAGTAGGGTCAGACCAAAGGAGACAACGTTGCACCGCTGAGAAAGCACAAAATGAATAGGATTATTAGTGGGATTAGAGGAAATAAAGAGAGACAAGAGTGGACAAAGCTAGACGACGACGACGACAACAACAACTCCTACTGCTACTATCACTGATACTACTTGTACCATGCAAACACAGGCCAGACATGCCTCTACAATCTCTTCCAAACACAAGCTGAACTCTTTGGTCAGTACTTACAGGCAGTTTCCTGCACCACTTTGGAACCTCGAGTGCAAATGAAAACAGGCATGCCAAAGAAAGTACAAATACACTTAAAGCAAACAGGGCACGAGCAGGGAGAGAAACAGTGAGCAAAGCAAAAAGGGTGACAAACACAAATGAAGGCGGCTTTCACTCTGGCCTATTCCTTTCAGTCTTTGTTACAGTGCAAGTTTGGAAAATGTTATCGAATATTGAGGAGAAACGTCTCTGAATTCAGACTCAAACGCCAGTGTGACTGCGCCTTAAGTGTAGCCCGAATGAGAGTTAGTAAGTAGTAACGTGCAAATAAAGTAAAGTTGAACATCAGCAGGAGACGAAGCTTTAACTGTACCTCAGTCATGCCGGGGGTGATGGTGGGAGCAGCGATGAAGACGACGTAGGGAGCAAACTCGGCCGTCCTGAGTATCTTTAGTGCCTGAGAGAGAGAGAGAGGGAGAGGTGGGGGTTTGATGTTAATGTTATCATTTTTCCACTAAAACTACTTCAGTTAGTGATTGTGAAACTGATTTTATTTACAAGAAATAAGAAATGCTCCCTATTTGACCGTTTACTTTTCTGGCTTTATATGTCAAACATCCCTGTGTGTTATCCTCGCGCCGCCGCGGCCTTTCGGTTGACGTGACGGCGTCGAATTCAGACATCAGCGGCATTTGTGACGAGGATCAAACTAGTCAGATGAAGCGACTGTTGCTTTATTAAAAACTGTCAATCAAGTCTTCTGTTACCTGTGGTTCCACATCCAGGATAGAGATCATGCCCTGCGCGTGGATCTGCCTGATGGTCTCCAGCCTGGTTCCGTACATAGCGTCCTCGTGGCTGCCGTACTCCAGGTAGTCGTTGTTGCTGATGTCCTGCATCATCTGTTCGTGAGACACGAAGTAGTAGTTCTTTCCGTTCTCTTCGTCCTTCTTAGGAGGACGGGTCGTGTCTGAGCAGGGACAAAGACGGACGGACACTTAGGAAAGTCATAGAAAATAAAAGACCGCAAAGGTGGAACAAAGGGTTATACACGTTGCATCTACAATAGACACTTGAGATCTGGCTTCTTTATTAATTATGACATAATCCAGCAGGTTGAAGTTTATTAAAGACAGAGCGGCACAGACATGTTGCTTATGTTTTCCGTCTGACAACCGCAGGAGCTTCAAACCGCTCGAGCAGATGATCTGCGAGCGTGTACATACGATGCGTAGCAATGTTAGAGTGTGAGCGTCTCCTTACGAGGGATGGGGTAGGCGAACCGGTCAGGATGTTTGGTAATGAGCGTGTTCTTGATGTGCCTCCTACCAACTCCGTGTGCACCTGAATGAAAACAGATTACAGACACTTGGTGGGTGAATACAGTAATAGAAACAGTGGTGTTTTTCAACTGCGACTCAACTGCCGCTAAAGAAGCTCGCGGCCGTTCTTCTGATGCTCAATAATGTCTGTCAAATTAATAGGTAAATGATTCTAGCAGTCTTTAAGCAAGAGGTCTGTATCAGCTCCCCTTCTGTAATATAATTGAACCCCTTTTAACCGCTGCGAAGGCACGCCCAGGCGATGCATTTGTCTGTTGGCAGCCAACACCACGCACTTGACCTTTGTGTAGCGTGCACAGTGATAATGTTATTGTGGATAAACGCCCTGAATTCAGACTGCCCACGGCCACATGTAAGCAGTTATCGTATATGAAACCGAAGTCGACGTTTCAGCACTTTTCTATGAATAGCGGGGTATTTTGTTTTTGGTTTATGTGTGAATTGTGAACAAGTAGGCACTTTTTTCAATAAACCGGGAAGCTTTTCAGTAATATATTTGTTATAATTTCATATCTATTGCACATTGTCAATTGGATTTAGATTAGGTTAGATTTCTCACTTGGGTGGTTTTGTTGTAGTTTGCAAAGCAGCTTCCCTGATGCTGCCCATTTGATTTTAAGTGGCTTCCTCTCTCTACCCTGCTGATAATGTTGTACTTTGTGTTGGAGGCTCCTCAGCAGTGAGGTGGAGTTAAACTTGTATTACTGCTAAGTGTGAGTTAATTTATTTACACTCCTGTCAAACTCGATGCCATTGATGCGGGATTAAGCGGTTGATAGCGGAGCCGTCCACTTAGGTGACAGACAGCGGCGTGAGGCCAAGTCATTCAATATGTGGCGAGTACATGTTGGCTACAGCTTAGTAGTTGGACGATCTAAGATGAGGTGGATTCTGTGTCACCAGCTTAGATCCTGCATTAGCTGCGATTTGTTAACCTTTACCGCTTCCTTAGCGGAAACAATTGCAAGTGCTGCACTGATATCTAAAAATATATCAGCTTCTGCGAGGAGAGCGTTTGAGTGCACAATCATTTGGGCAAAAACCCCACATCTTAACGATGTTGTGAGCATCCAAAAAAAAAAAAAAATGGAGTTGACGTATCTGAGATGCGTATCTGTCGTCTGCCGGTAGGATGGGAAGGGGATGGTCTTTTTGAGCTCTCCGGTCTCCTGGCGCAGCTGTTTGTTTTGGCAGCTCGGCTGTATTCCAAATCCTGGTTTCACGTGTCACAGGGTCTACTCGGTTCTCGTTTTTAAATCCGTTGATGTATAAGCTCTTATCGGCTACAGCTTCATCCAGAGTTTGCGGTTGTTCATCATTGTTTTCGGCCTCGTCGGCTTACACTCTGTAATAGTCTGTGTTTCTTGTGCTGTCAAATCTTAACTTATTTACATGACTCTGCATTAGGGGATTTAACACCGTAGCCTTGATGTTGTATGTTACTACAAATGTACTGCTAACTATTTATAGTCCTTGGGTGTTGTAAGAATGCATTCAATTGACATGTTTCAGCGGTGTCATTTAGTTGTTGCATGTGATGTCTGTGTTAATTGTTCAGGAAAAAAAAAAAAAAAAGCTGCATTGAATTGTCATAAAAGTCAAACGTGGAGATGCACACAGTATCTGTAAAGTAGTAGAAGCAAATAATTTTAATGTTTTGTGTCTTTATGGAACATGTCCATTAAACATTCAGGGTGGCGGTGGAAAAAGGAAGTGAACCCTTGGATTTAATAATAACCTCAAACCAGTACTCTCCCCTGAGATACATGGATACAAACAAACAAACACTGTTTCCATTGTGTTTATTTACCAAGCAGAACCAGCGTTTTCCTCTTGAACGATGGCAGTTTGACCACTTCCTCGTACGTCACCAGATCTAGTTGGTCGAACACTGCGGGATAGAGGAGATGCATGTTAGGTTTGTGCAGTATTAGCTGTAGCTGATTTTGTCAAGCACAGGGTTTAGATGGAATTGATAGGGACAGTACAAAGTGAGCAAATGTGTGTTATGGAAAAATAGTTTGACTACACATTTTAGTTAGGTGTATGTCATAATTAGTGCTGTTCCTTCACAAAGGCTATAATGTAGAGTTTTTGTTGAAAGTGTTTTACAGAATGGTGGATTCAACTCTGGGGTTGTATACTAAGATGTTTTTGGGCCTGTGGATAGAAATCCAAAAGGGTGGACAAATAAGTGTAACAGAAAATAATTCAATGGCACGGAAAATCAACAGCGAAATGACTTGAGTGGAATCACGGTCTCTGTAAAACAGTTTGGACAAAAAGTCAACGTCATAACGTGAAGGTGATTTTATGTCAGGGCTGTTGTGTTCGACTGCCTCAGTTTGGGTGCATGGCAGGTGTCAAGGAGATGTGCAGTAATTGTGATGTTTTGTCCCTGTGGCTTAAACGGAGTGTGGGGGCTCCTCGGTCAGATTTGTATTCAGAATCTAAAAAAGCAAATGAATTGAAAGATGCCATAATGTACACAGATGGCGGTTTCAAAGGTGCACTAAGCAGATCCGACAAAGGTCAAATGTTTTGGGCTGGCGTTACCAGCCGCTTATTTATATGAGCTGACCTTGATCGGATAGAAGTTGAACAATTGTATCAAATAGAATTTCACAGCTAATGAGAGCAGAGCAGCTCACAACAACCCTAACAAGGCAGCTGTCTTTCAAAAGTCAGGGGGACGGTAGGAAGGGGACAGAGTGTGAAAGCAGAGAGAGGAGGAGGAAGAGTAAGAATAACACAGAAGCTGGATGCCAGCTGTGTGGAGTTACTTACATGCAGCCATGTCATTGGGTAAGAGACAGCATGAAATATGGACAGAGGGTGGGAGCGGAAGGGTTAATTAAAAAGACAGTATAAGAAGACAACTTGACCAAAAAAGAAAAACACTGTAACAAAAGTTTTCAACACGGAAAGCTGTTGTAGGCAACACTGTTTGTTAGTCACCAAAAAGGAGGCGAGATTGAGACAGTGGTAGGAAAAGGCTGTCGTAGGACAAAGGCTACAGGCATGCGGCAGTTAGACATACTGGGTGTTACAAAGGTTGCAAAAGGTCAGATTGTTTACAGGTGTAAATGTAGTCCAACTACTGTGTGACAAATTCAATGTGGTGTTTGTACATTTTGACATACCTGGCAAGTATACAAATGTCAAAGTAGGGAAATCTAAATTCAGAGTCAGTGTCTTGACGTTCAGTGCTTGGCTATGAAAAGAAACCCCTGTAGCTGGTGGGTTGCTCTGTACCTGCGTTGTGCTTAGCCAGGTATTTGTCTTTATACTGTTTCTTCTTCTTGCCAAACCAGGTACAACTGGCCTGCTGTTCCTGTTTGGTCTTCTCCATCGCTATACATGCCACACGCCTGAAAAGAACAAGGGTAGAGTGAGGGTGAGTGCATGTTTATACAGTTGAATGGAATTGAGGAGTGCTGGTTGTAGTTTATCAAATCTGAGAGTGTACAGGTGAAAAGTTTAGCCGTCACACTCACCACTCCTGTAGCTCAGGCGAAGGGATGAGGCCTGCTGTGCCGTTCTTGGTGTTCTCCAGTTTTCCCTGCCACCAGTTGTGGTCGTCCTTGGAGATGATCTGAATGATATCGCCCACCTGGAAGCGAACGCCTGCCTCCTTACAGGGGATGAGGTCGTCTTTGGCTGGGTCGTATTCAAACTGGGCGCGTACGTAAATCTGAAAGGGCGAGAGACAGAAGGTTTGTTTGCTTGCTGCAGTGGCGACGATAGCGTGGGACAGGATGCCGGTTGCTGGATTGCGGTAAAGTCGGAAAGGCGGCACTGATAAATGGACAGCAAAGGGGAAAATCAAGAGTGTATAAGCTGAAGCAGGAAAGGGAACAGACTGACTTAAATGAGGGGGACAAATATGATCAAACAAAGCGCTCCCGTCTGCATCGTCCATTCTTTGAAAAGCTTATGGGCATACATCCACATTGAATCTTTGGTGCACCAGACATGAAGGCTAAGCCTAGCACACAATTTAGACACCACTATGAGGGGAGGGGAGGGGAGGGGAGGAGGGTGGGGTTGGGCAGGTTGTTGTTGAACTCTGCGATGAGCGGGGGAGGATCGGGGATCTATTTCTACAGAGGGTCTGCTTGGAGATGTCTTACCTTGATGGACAATTTGTCCTTGATAGCTGGTCTGGTGATCTATGGGGTTGAGAGCATTACACACACTCTTACACACACATCATGCAGTAGGAAATGTGTGGGACATCAACAGGGGTGGGGCGGGGTGGGGAGGGGAGTGTAAAGTGTGGCAATGTTTGTTCTGCATTTAATGTCTGTCAATGTGTACTATCGTGCAGGAGGATGCGATGGGCTGGGACAGATGTGTTACAGAAGATGTGGAAGTGTGACTCCCCAATTGGAAGCAAGAACGAGGCTGCTGCTGTGCCCTGGCCAAGGTTTCTGTGCTGCAAGTATAAAATAGTCACAGTATAGTAAGGTGTAAAAGTGCAGTGTTTCCTCTACATTAATTTAGCAGTGGCGGCCCGCCACTAGCCGCCACGCTTTCAAATTTCTTTTCTTTTTTTATTGTCACAAACGCACCACCGCCGCCGCATCTCTCCACCTTCACCTTCACAGCACAGCCTGTGTGACGATGAGCGCAACAGCGGGGGGGGGGGGATCCTATTGCAGTTAATTACTCGAGAGCGCGACATCACGTCAGGCACCAGGTCAGAGTCAGAGAAGTGTAGTCGTGAGGAATAAGGCAGCGAATTACCGGAGAAAAGGTAGACTTATTAGCCAACTCGGTGACGCTAACTTGGGTCAACTAATTGATAGCATTAAGCTAATATCCACACGTCATTATGTATTAACTACTGACTGCATTTTCAGATGAGCTTGGTCACATACTTCTCTATAGTAGAGAAAGACAACAGATGAAGAAGACGCTAGTCAGGTAGCCTATCATAAGCCTTTTACTGACTCGTAAATGGTGATGGTTAGGGAAAAAATAGGATTTTAATGTTCACACTTGTAATCAGACGTGATGGGAGTGTACGCTGTTAGCGTTACGTTACTCACACTTTTAATGTAATCTTATTAGACAAGTAACATTAGACAGAGAGGAGAGCAGAGCACAGCAGCGGGAGAGCTTGAGTTGGCTAATAAGTCTAATAATACGCTGCCTTATTCCTCACGACTACACTTCTCTGACTCTGACCTGGTGCCTGACGTGATGTCGCGCTCTCGAGTAATTAACTGCATTAGGACCCCCCCCCCCCCATTGCGCTCATCGTCACACAGGCTGTGCTGTGAAGGTGGAGAGATGCGGCGGTGGTGCGTTTGCGACAATAAAAAAAAGAAAAGAAATCTGAAGGCGTGGCGGCTATGATTTAGCAGTGGCGGGCCGCCACTAAATAGTATGTTTCTTCTTCTACTGTGTTGATGCAGGAGGATCCAATTAGGAGCGTGAATGAGGTGCACCTGAGAAGGCTTGGGTGCTGAGCTGCGATTGGCCGTCGGCAGCAATTAGCGGTGTGCTACATGAGCAGCAGCGCACCGCTGGAGCGTCAGCCCAGCGTCAGCCCCAGTGTCGCCCCCGTGTTCAGACCTCCGTGAGTGAAGACCGACGGGAGTAAAGACCTGCGAGTCTACCTGCGCGAGTCCACCGAGCAGGGGACGCCCGGGGACGCCTCTGCCCGTTTTCCCGTAAGTCTCTCCTAACATTTCCTTCATTGTCACTGGCTTGGAACGCAAAGACTGAAGACTGAAGAGATGTCATAGTATTTTCAGGCCAAACAAGTCAAACAAACGGCATAGTATATTAAGGCACAAAAAAATTTCCGCCAGTTCCTCACTCTGTCTACACCAGGCAGGCAGCTACCCGTTGCCCTCATTGTCTTTGCCATGTGCTTCATTGCAGGCGTGTTCAACCCAAGGGAGGCAAGAACATTTCATCTAAATAAATACTATTTTTTTAGAGTCCACCGAACAGGGGACACCATCTGCAAATTTTCCAGTAAGTCACAGCACATGTATGCACTTCTGCCAAGCCTTCCACTACCTTCATTGTCTCACTCTCAGCCATGTGCTTCATTGCTCACAGCTGTGTAGGATGTCTTTCCCTTCTCCACACAAACAAAGTCTACCAAGAACACTCAACTAAACACAATCGGCAGAATGGGAATGGAGGAATGACTCTAAGTGTCACTGGGTTGGAAAGCAAAGACTGAAGACACCTCACCTGACGCCCTTTGGGCTGAATCGTCGACGGCAGGTCCTGTTAGAGTGGCAGTAAACATTTATATAAGTAAGTATTTGCTTGACAAAGTACACACTTATATCACAGCTAACACGTTGACTCTCATGTCTGACTAGCAGTAGCATACCAGGATGGAGCTGGTGACGCTAGCATGACCATTTGCAGGTGACTGTCTGGACAAATCCGGTGACTCTTTCTGCAACACAAAATAAAATAAACTTTGCTTTGCTTTTGCTCTGTACATTTTGGAAAAACAATGTGAATTTGTGAAACCCCCCCCCCCTTACCTCACAAGACATAGACTGGGATCGATAACTGGGTACAATCTTGAAGGTAATGCTACCCCTCATCTCTCTCTGGAGAGGGAGAGAGAGAAACAAATAAGCATAACAGCACCTTGCAATACTCAAACACAACTATAATGAACCCTACACAGTCAAAGCCTGTTGGCCCAGTACTAGAGCAGCTCCATAGTCAGTCAGTCAGTCAATCAATCAATCAATCAATCAATCAATCAATCAATCAATCAATCAATCAATCAATCAATCAATCAATCAATCAATCAACAAACACTGTCTTTCCACACCAACAACTCTACCTATAACATTTGACCCAGTGGTGAAAGAAGGACACACATGAACATCTTCACCTGGTGCTTTGTTTTATTGCAGTCACCAGTCAGTTAGTTACAAACTGAATTTCTACAAAACTCACTGATTGATTAGGTAGGTAGGTAGGTAGAACAAATTACAAAATAAAACACTTCAAACTAATAGACACCCAACCTCTCCAAACCGTCCCAATGTAGAGGAGCCAACATCTGATCTGCATAACTCACCAGCATCTTTTGGAGCTGCTCTACCGTCTGATTGGCAACACTGATGCCGTTGATCTCTCGGATCTCATCTCCTACATGCAGAGTCCCTGAAGAGGAGAAATAACAGATTAATAAAGGCTACAAATGAGGCAGATGATTCATTAGCTCTTCCTTAAGCAGAAGCCAGGAAACCCCAGGTGTTGTCTCCATGGCAGACCCAGCTAATACAAGGAAGAGTGACAATTCATTGTTATTTCCATTAACAAGAGGGGAACATCTGTCAGAAGACCTCAAAACATTCACTTCCACAAAGCCACACAGAGATGTATCCATTTTGGGATACCTGGACCAACTCTAAAGACCATAATCCACAAATGGACACACTAAGAATCAACCTAGGAGTGGAAGACCAAAACAATGAACAATAAAAGGAAAAAGCTGCTACACAACTTGCTCCAGAGCTACAGAAGACTCCAAAACAAACTGCAGGGGACCTACTAAAACCCTCCAAGGCAACTGGAAGAAAAGTCCACATCTCCAAAGTCAAGCACAGTCAGCACAAGTCTCATTTCTAGACACAAGGCAGCATGCTAGAGTATGCTAAAGAGCATGTGAATAAACCAAATGACTTGTGGAACTAAATTATGTGACCCCATGAGACCAAAGTCAAATTATTTGCTATGAATTTCCACAAGTGCCTATGAGGACAGGAACACTATTCACACAGTCAAACATTTTGAGGCAATTTACCAGAGCTCTGCATAAAAGCAGAAGGAAGAATGAATGAATGAATGAATGAATGAATGAATGAATGAATGAATGAATGCAGGCAAATATCAACAGATTTTAACATTAAACCTCCTAACATCACTCAGAAAGCTTCAAATAATCCTTCAACAACACAACAATCCAAAGCACAAAGCAAAGTCAACCCAGGAACACTTTAAAAACTATAACGTCAGTTTTGCCATGGCATTCCCCATTCCAGATAGATTTGAACACACCTGCAAAGGGCACACAGCCAAGCAATCCAGTACACTTGAACAAATACACCATGAACTAAAATTACACCTGAGAAGACACAAAAGCTACTCAAAGGGCATATCAACATATTGCAGAAGGTTACAAAAGCAAAGGAAGAACATACAAAGTACACAACTTACATTATTTCTATATCACTTTCTTTTCATACACTCTCTAAACATTTTTTAAATACCATGTTGATGAAGATACATTTCTTTGTTCTACTGTTTCTGTCAAAGTAAGACTTTATAATCTTTCACACTCAACTGGATGACAGCAGAACATGAGAGCTATTCTTTTACTAATATTATCTCTTTGAAAACTCTCTGCTTAATCTCATTGCCAGAGAAAATCTCATCACACAAACCTTGTCGATGAATCATGCCACCGTGCATGATGCGGGCCACAATACAGTGGTTGAGGTCATTCATTTTCAGGGTGATGCCCTAGAAGGGACAAGCACAGAGAAAACTTACATGTAACAATGGCACAACATCTTCAAGTACAACACACTTCACTGAATTTCATAATGAACTTCAAATGGATATAACCTTATTTCATTGTAAGAGCTGTGCACAGCTCGCTCGCTCGCGCGCTCTCTCTCTCTCATATCCATCCATCCATCCATCCATCCATCCATCAGCATGCATACATACCTGAACTGGCATCAGTCACAAGCCATTAAAGAAGTTCATTGTAAAGACATGCAGAGTTACAAACCCACAATTGACACTTTGTTACTCTTCCCACCATCAAACTATCAAACTCATAGGAAACAGACACACAGGAACCTTCTCTCACAAACAGTCCATGCTTTTATCATGTCAGAGAGACACAGAACCAGGTCAGATCAAACAATGGACACCAGGCAACTGGAGAATACAGGCAAAATCTCCAGTTTGTAACAATAACACTATCTCTGTCTAACACTATTTGATTGTTTCTCATATAGGACAAACACCAAAAGGACTGATTATCACTAAGGTGTGAATCCTGTCCTCTGTGCCGCACGCACGCACGCACGCGCGCGCACGCATTCCTCTATCCCTCTCTAGATAAGAATCATTAACTACAACCCACATTCCAATCCTGGGTAGTGACCAGCACAACTCTCTTCACAGACACAGATCTGAGGAAAAATAAATATATAATTAAATATCTAACTGTTCTGTAACTCATGAGATGTTTCTATGCAACAGTTCAATCCCAAACTTCTATCCCATAGAATGTTTGAAATGTAACATGTAGACTTTAAATCAATGTCCTTAATGTGACCGTACTGTCAGCATCCTTCACACGAGCAAACACACACCACATGACATCCAGAATGTCCATATTATTATTATTATTATTATTACAGAACACAGATATGCAAGTTTATAGGTAAACTGTAGAATTAAACTACTCAAAAGTTCCATGGAAAATTACTCTCTTCCCCAAGTTGAAACAAAGAAGAACACAGGTGACACCCCTGAAACGTGCACCAGCCCCCAGGGGATAAAACAGTTGTGATTAATTCACACATTGCTGAAGGAAGAAGCTAGAGCTAGAAAAACAATGCAGAAAACTAGAAGCTGAGAACTTGAATCTTTGGTTCAAAGCTCAGAGTCCCAGCATCAAAGCTCTGCAGCCATGTTAAACTCTTAGCTTTAAGTGCACCAACTGACAGAACATATCCTAGGCAAACTTCCATCACAATCACTGACACACAGGCCCAATCAGTCACCGTGATAACAGCAGCAACACGCAGCCACCGTGGGTCCAGCCAAAGGGTTCCTCCAGCTACAGCACAAACTTCATATGCAGGCCAGTCCTTAACTCTCTGCTCTTGACTGGGTCGATGTCAAAATAATATAGTAATATTTAATTAACCTATCTCATTCGTTAGAGTGGGTATCTTATATTGATAGCCATAACATATTTCTCTCCACCATGCCATTCATCAACACTGCTCATTTACATTATTATTTTCATCCTTTATGGTTATTTACTTAATAAACGCTCTTTATTTAACCCAGCTGTTGTCCTGTTGTGTTCTTTTGACTGACATGGAACCATTGAATTCAAGAAGTCCACAGCTTCTTGACATGAAAGAATTAGTGAGGAGACTCTGATTATGAGTGGTTTTTGTCACCCATTGATAACACCTAATTTATCAAATAATTATCAATTGGACTCTGTTGTCCTCCCAAAATCTGCTCTTATCCGCAGGACCTAGTTGGGCTTCTCATTAACGTTGTTGTTGGAACCATATCTCAACAAGAGTACTTCTAATTTAATGGCATTACACCGGGGAGAACATAAATACACCTACATCTATAGGCTCATATGCGAATACATTACATACATGACGATGACAATAAACAATAACATATTAGTATATATTATACTACTTTAGTCTAACACAAAACACAACACTCCATTGGCTAAACCAACCATTGAACTGGGTTTCCTTTGCATTTTTATTATGCTAGGAGAAGTAGACACCGCATCTTCATCACCAATTTAATTTACTGTTGATAGTGCTCACGTCTAACTGCACTCAAACATCGCAGAGACGACTACAACTTTTAACTCCTCAGAGTGTGAATCTGACATGATTTACAGTTCTTTGAAGCACCCACTACAATACATTGATCAGGGATTCATCCTCTGACTGATCGTAGCATGATACACAATCATCAATGTCTCTGAAAAGGATCTATAGATGTTTCTGTATTTTTCGATCTATAGAGAGAGCGGAATAACACAGCTGAGTCAGTGTGCGAGAGAAGGATAATACTTTTCTGCGCATGTATGCACAGCAAATCACTTGCACTTTAAAGGCTGATGTTCTTTTTTGCTATGAAGGTGACTTTAAAATGAAATTGTCTGAAGGGTCACTTCTGATCTCACTCACATACCACTCCATCATCTCTCTCAAAACCAAACACACACACTAAAACTTAATGTCTGCACATTCAGTAGCATGATCTTAAATAAAGTACAAATTCGTGATATCGGTACTCAATGTAGGGTCGACACGCAAGTACACGCTACTCTGACAAAACGAGCAATATACTAGCTTTCATTTAGAACAAAAAAAGAGGCTCAAACCACGATCACTAGGTTAGAGTTCTGAACACACATTACTAAAACCTGTGAGCCAGGGCAAGGTTATATAAGTTGGTGCTTTATGCGTCAGCAAGGACCTGGGATTCTAACAGTAAAACTTGTTTTTTGTAATGTGTTTAAAACGCCGACGCATTGGCTGCTAATACAGTAGCTATAACATTCTCTTTTTTTGAAAACTCCTAGAGACACCAAAGTTGCGAGACTCCTCTCATGTATCACACCAACTCTACTCGTTACAAGTGTCCATGTGCTAACACAGGCGTTGTGAGTGAGACTCAGAGAGTATCTTTGTGGAGGTACTTCCGAGTTTTAAGATGTACACGGTAGAGTAGAGATGTGGTAGCTAGTGGGACAGAAAGGCGATCACCTCAACGCATAGACTGAGTAAGAGACTCTGTGGCGCACGGCACGAATCGAGTAGGGTCTGCAATGCGGGAGGACACATTGGATGTACACAGAGACGGACAAGAGCAATTAGACTATATAAGGTAATAATTTCTCTACGGACCAACACCGACACATATTTCGCAGGTTTTGGTCTCAACGTCTCGCGATATATGGATTTTTATCTCAGCGCTCTCTCTAGAATCCTCAGATATTTTCCACTCGGGCTCAAAATCTAAAGCATATCACTATGACCGTAGTCCCATTCAGCGTGAGCATACCATCAAACCACAATTGTCCCATTTACTCACTCATCATCATTTTGGGTTTTCCTCTCGAACTCACTCTCAACTATACTCGCACTCGACCATTCACCCTCCTGATCAGGACTATCCAGTCACATACAAGAATTAGAATATTTTTTTATTAAGAACAGAAAAACTATCTCGAGCACACCCAGCAAAAAAGTTGGATTAAGCACGGATCACTGAAGATTCACATTGCCAGATTGGGAGATTCTAGGGCTTTCCTCTGGATCATTCTCTGGACGATAACACATCTCTCACGCGGCGAGTATGCTGTGTGTGGAGCGTGGGTGTTGTGTTCCTTATTGCGGATAGTAAGGAGAGCTCTTGTGCACGAACTCAAAAATCCAGCAATCTCGACAAAACAATCCCCATCTCCACACACTATAAGGTCGGCGCCCAATTGCAATCAACTTAAACAAAAGCTAGAACTATAGGCTAAACTGCGTGGTCTTCTAATAACCACCTGCCACTAAGAGAGGACGCGCAATGCTGCACCCACGTACATGGTTCTCAAATTCATATGGCTCCCCAAAATAATACTCAATATGTAAAATATAATACTAGAGTATCGGTTGTACATATTTACCCCTTTTTTTTTTAAAAAAACACTTAAATAGGAGCAATTAACCCCAGTGACATTAGAAGGGAGGGCGGAAAGGAATTATGTGCAGCTTTATCGTCTCGAAAAATTAATTGGGGAGCCTCCCTCTTATATTGAGTCCACTAATTTGGCTTGGGATTATTAAGCTGTTACACAACTGTGGTTTTACTAACAAACACGTCTACTGTCTGCATTTGCCAAACAATACTCTTGTTATCGGAGCGACGCCGCATAGCGCGCACGATACGTCACAAAACGGCAACTTACAGGCCCTTTGCGCCAGTTTTTGCCAGCGGCGCAGTTAAAGTGTGTGGCAGGATGAAGTCAGGTCTAGAGAGCAGGAGGGCCTAATTGGATTGAAGGCGAACCTAGGGTGTGAACGCTCCGCTGAGTGGTCAAAGACTGAATCGGGCAGAGAGGAAAACGCTCATTGTGCAAAAATTTAGCCACTAGCGCCATTTTGTGACAGTTTAATCAAAAAAGTACCGCTACAAAACAGGTATCCCACACAAAAAGTTTTCTCACTCAACCATTGCCGTTATAATATCTAAAAAGTGCCGTTTTATCCACAAAACAGAGATCAAAACTGCATGCAACAAACCAGGCTACACTCTTTTGAGGCAAAGCAAATTACAAGTGACCCCATAAATGGTACCATACCTCTCCACAAAATCCAAACTCTGCCTATTTCTTCCACCTCACTTTGCGTTTAAAGTCCATCCTGACAAAACATCGACGGTCACCGCAAAAACCACCCTATAATCACACTGAATTCCTCAGCGCATTCCTTCCTACAAAGCTCCAACTCTCCCGCCTCTGTGTCTTTCTCCCCCTGCCAGAGGGCTCGCCGAGCCAGGTGCTAAGCAGCTTTGTGGGCCGAGGGAGTTATGTGGATTGTCCAAAACACCCTACTTCTGACTAGGTTGTAATCTGCTCACACACCACACACACCAAAAAAGCACAACGTTACGTGCACATGACAAAGCGCAGTGAACTAAGTATGTATATTACGTTGCTCCACGCGTGTGGTGTGTGTGTGGGTGTGTGTGTGTGTGGTGTTGTGTGTGTGGTGGTGTGCGTGCGCACCAACGTGTGCAACACGTTGCACACGCAGGCTTCAAGTAACATCACACATGAAGTGCGGCTGTGTGAAGGATCCTCCTAGAGCTCCTTGGCCTCCTGTTCTCTGGGGTACAGGAGATGGTTTCCAGTAGCTGGTGAGGAGAAATAGACAAGAAAGAGGTATGAATCTCAGGCCACGCGCGTAATACCTAACGACTAACAGACTATTGTCACTGGAACAATCGATTTAAGCTGGTCAAGCAGAACTACGCTGGCAGCAAATTCCTCACCTTCTTTGGCTCTCTGCAACGCCGTCGCTAGGGAGGATGTTTCTGATCCTGGAAGGAGACGACCTGGTGTTTTGATTTTTGTCCATAAGCTGAAAACGACAACAGATATAATTAATACAATACACATAATGACCCGAGCCTCGATTTCAATCGGTGACGCCTACTCACGTCTAGCAAGGTTGGAGGTGCCTGATCCTGGAAGACGCTTGTGCAGGAGTCCATGTCTTTCTCACTGCAGTCCGTCAGCGCGTGAATCCTTCCTCGCGTAGACTGTCAAAACCTGCGATACTGCCCCTACCGCGCAACCAGAAGTTATACACTCAAATAAATGTAGACTGAATCGGCAAGCACACAGAAGCATTCACAAGAGTACGCCAAGCCAATCCACCTCGCAAACATACACACCAACACAACACGAATGCAAAAACACTGAACAAGACAGACACAGTGTATCTGCAGACAG